ATTTTTTTATTTTACCTCCTTATTTATGCATTACTAATGTATGCATTGATGGAGTCAAAACTACAATGTTTACACTTCATACTTGACTGTTTTGCATCTTTATTCTAATAATGTCACATTCCTTCTAAGAGAGCCATCAGTAATTACTATACAAAAAATAGATAAAAACAAGGCATAATTGTCTAATTTATTTCATCATGTATTATTCTCTCTTGGTATATTTTCTTTTGATATTACTCACTTGTATTTTGTGTGATGAGGCAATGTAGTTACTACTCTTCGGTATACTTGGTTCACAGCAGCCAAAGTGTAAATTCTCCTCTAGTAATAATCAAGTCTCATCCTGATCAAATTCACTTTCACCTGCTGCAGACATTTCACTTCAGTCCACTTTACTCAATCTAAACATTAAGAACTGAAGAAAAAGGTTGGCAGAATAGTCGCCCTCGCGAGTTAGATACCTTATGAAAGATGATCAAACAGAAATACATGAAAGAGAGCAATTTAAGAATTTAAGAGATCCCTGGTCTATCCAATAACTGATTCTGCAAGACACCTGTACTGGCTAGTGCTAGGTTACCATCTCCCCCTACTGGAGAAACACCATTTGTACTTGAGAGCACGATCAAATAATGTGCAGTGGACCATACAAGACTAATATATAGTCTCTCTACTGTAGATTACTTTATAGATTGCAATTTGCAGCAGGCACACTGCAGTGTAAAGAGGTTGAACAGCTAAATTGTTGGACAATACAATTTATAAATAAATGACTTAAAGTTTGCACCAGTTTTAATGCGATACAGACTGTTACACATCAGGCATGGCAACTACCGGGTTTATTTGTATTCCAGTCCATGCCTCTGTAACCCTTCAAGCACTGGCATATGAAGCTCACATGGTGACCAGGTGGGAGAACTGCTGCTGGGCCTCTCACCTTTCTATGTCACAAAGTGGGTGGACTGCAATCCAGTTAAGGAATAAGTTACAGATTTTTAATTCTTAATGTTTCCTGGGAATACAAATTGAAACTTGTAAGACTATAATTATTAAGGGAGGAGAGGGGAGATAATGATGTGGATGTAAGGATATGATTTCTATTTAAATATCTTCTTTTTTCCTTTGCCATACATTTAATAGTGGCAGAAACAGCTACATCAAAAAGACTACTTTGGTTCATAAAGGTGCGCTTAGCCATAGGCAGATGGCAATAGTTCTGTGTCTGTGCTGAATCAGGGTTTTTATATTGAGTGCATTGGTTGTGCACATTAGGAGGTCTATTGAGATATTAAGTCCCTAATTTGATTAGTCTCCATGGTGGCAAGCCCATGGTGCAGTTGCACCGCTTGGAAATTAGAGTGGTGCCTTCATGAACCCTTGAGGAATAAATGTAAAACACTTAAAAGGTTTCCTCTGTAATACCTTGAACGTAAACATCAATGCACACACACGTCTCATACACAGTGCATTTTCTTCAAGCATCACAACAGTCTCCCCTACATTTAACTTCAGGGGCTAACAGATAAGTATGTCCTATATGTACTTTCCAGACTCAGATCTCGGCAGGGAAAGTGAAAGGAGACATCCCGCCAGCCAATATCACACCCCTTTACCCTGCTGTGTGCAGATTGTATTTAGTCATAGCTTCCAGTCCTCTTTTTTTCCAAACTCCACATCATGATACCATACTGTGGGTTGCTCATTTCGAGGGCCTCCCAAACTATAATGAGATGGCATCCACAGAGGTAAGATGGCGATGCAGGCTGAGGGGAAAGTCAATAATGACCCACCGGACCAGCAGGCGAAATGCCCTGGCTGTTGACTGCAACTTCTGCTCATAGAAGGCAACTGAGCTGTAAACTGCTGAGAAACATTAAGGCTGGGTCACACAAATGTTTCCCTAAAAGGTTCTCCTCATTTACAAAGTTATTAATCCACAAAGCTATAAGAATATTACATTTCAACTATATTAAAGGACACAACAGTCTTTAAAGATCACAAAATCCCTGCTGATTGAATTGCATATTTAAAAATACCAAAAACTGACAATAAAAAGGCAAAGACCTGATTGCGGTGACTTTATTGTAAAGATTTATGCATTTGCCTTGAAAGTAACCCAAAAATGAATCATCCCAGTACGTCATTAGCTTAGTGGCTTAAGCTTTTATGTGATGGCAAATTGGAAGTAGACAGTGTGATCAGTGGTACTGGTCCTACTGACCAGCAGAGGACAGTGTCAACCCACAGGGTGGAAACCTGTGAGCACGTCTGAGGGTGGAGGTGTATCCAATATGTTTTGTATCTGGAGTTAACCTCCATTACTGTATAGATTTACCTGACACTCTCACGCCATGCAAGGAACGCACATGGAATCTGAAATGGACATGTTTGATCCTCTGGGAAGCCTAAATGTGTTCAACAGGTTTTATGAAAAAGCAAAGCAAAAGCTTTCTTGGATTTCTACAATGTTTTATTAAGATCTGCTGTAATTAGAAGTACAATGTGTACATAATATTATCATAGAATCCAGGTAGCTACCTTAGCCATGCCATTTCGAAGTCATTTGTCATGCATCAAAGCGCCACAAAGCTACAGCTACGTGTACCAATTAACGGCTATCATGCTTTTTCAAAGAGGTCTCATTTTAAAAGGGTATGGTCTCTAATTTACAAGCGCGCCTGAAATATAATGTTGATTCATTTCACACAGAGTCCACAGAAAGATATCTTTTTGCTGTTTGAAATTGCATAATGCTGCTGCATGTCATTGAGGTATTTTTAGTTGAGGCTGCACAAGAGGATTAAAATGTCTGCATGTTTTGCCTTCCTTTCTCTTACATACATATGTCACAGAGATGTATCCAAGGAATCTTCCTCCTCTATCCTGACAATGTCTACATTCACCAACACATGTCTCCTTGCTGTCAGTCTCTCCGACTCATTTTTCACGGTATCCTGCCTGCTTTACATTTTCCTGAGGCCTTCAGGCTTCCGTCCAGCTCCGTATCTACCCTTTTTCCCACAAATTGAATCCCCTCAGGCAGCACAACGACAGAATGAATACATGCTCAACTTGATTTTCATGGTATGAATCCACTTTTGAAGGGGAGAAAATACAGCTGAGCAAGCAGAGGTGAAAGACTCAAGGGAAAAATAGGCTAAAAGAAAACCTCACCACGCAGGTAATAAAAACATGAAATGCAACTTGAAGACATTTCTCATCAAGGCTGTGTATGATAGCTGAAAACAGCACTTTGTCTCTGAGACAAAACAGCTTCAATCATTCATAATTCAGTCATTTGTTGGTGTCTACTCATATCTTAGCTCTAAATACATCTAATATAAAGTCATTAGACCATAAACACTCCGTCAATACAGGTTCAGCCTGGTTCTAGCTGTGTATACACACACACTATGTTTAGAACAGACACTTAAAGTTGTTTCACTGTAACAATCATCTTGTTGTCACCCTCACTGTTTTGGGTGGCCTCAAAGTAAAGTCCAAATGTGCATTAAGCTGATAAAGCTTGTACCTTTCTTAAGTTAAATGCCCTGAAATGGAGATAGAGGCGACTGAAAATGTACTGTAGTCTCTCACATTGAAGAACCATCAGTTATGCATCTATCCCAAGTGCAATCGTAGGCTACAAATCCCACCTCTTCTTTTATTCAGTCTAAACAAAAAATGTATTGAACACATTGCATCAAATAGCAAGTATAATAAGCTCCTGTTAAACCTGCTAAAAAAAAAGCTAAACCCACACAATCTATTACTAAATGCTCGCTTTCAAGGTGAAACGCTACACACATGAGAAAACAGTAGAAATAAAACCAACACAGAGGGTCATCGCTGGAATGAGAAATTATGGGATATGTGATCCACCCTGAGGTACACAAAACACCAGCAGGCTTTCTCCCATTTCTTAAATTTTACAAAGACAGAAGAAAACATGAACTAGAGTGTCCAAATACAATGTGCGGATGTGTTAGAAACACCTGCTTCTCAAAACTACATTAAAGGAACAACTGAGCACTAAAGAACAAAGAAGAATGCTATCGGGTTCATGTTGCACAACAATGGATCGCAAATGATAGTAGGCAAATTTCCATCAATTTTGCAGTATTCATGATAACCATAGAAAGTAAATTATAGAGTTTTAGGTGACTCCCATGACAGGATTATTAAACGCTAATGGTCAGCTTATCATTAAATTCCCTGAGTGCCTTCTCATGAGCCACAGACTTCAGTCTTGTAATCCTGTTAATATAAGAAAATTGATGTCCTTGTTGTTTACAGCTCAGTTCACCGTCTTTCATGAACTGCATACTGCAACTTTAACTTCATGCATGCTTATGCAAAGTATACATTTCCCTTTTAGATATGCGGAGTACAGTTTGACCCCCAGTAGTTCTACCTCCCTTGTGTAGGGTATTTTAATGCTCAGTCCAGCCCTGGTGGGCTCATCTTCTGCTGACACAACTAAGCACTGCAGCTGAGGATGAAGGTGGTTCACGGTCCAGGATTACATTAATGCAATTGACAAATATATTAAATGTTTGGTTTTTTTGCATTTTTCACAAGTGGATTTAATCAAGGAATCTATTTGCTTCACTTGTGTTAGTGCACTTTTTTATTGGGGTAGTGTTCCGAAAGAGATTTTAAACTTTTGTGTCATCTATCATCTACTGTTCTTCCAATCTTCAGCTGCCTCAATTTCAGGTAAGTATCTGCTTACTTGAGCTGAGTTGGACTCTGCCAAGTGCTTTTCTCCAAAGATACAAACAGAAAAAAAGATAGGAGAAAGCAGCAGGAAGCAGCAGGAAAGACAAGCAGGGGGGAGAGTATGTGCAGGGTTTCTGGAGTGCCTCTAGTGATTCTGTGTCCCTGCACTATCGAGAGAGAGAGAGAGAGAGAGAGAGAGAGAGAGAGAGAGAGAGAGAGGAAAGGAGGCAGGGAAGAATAAGGGGTCAGTCCAGGGATTGTCCTCGATAGGAGAGGAACTACTTCTGTATGTGTGTGAGGAATGAGTTTCTCTGTGTGCGTGTTGTGTTTGCGTACTGATGTTTAAGGTCATTTTTCACCCTGTACACAGAGGATATAATAATAATCCACCACCATGAGCCGGACCACCTTTTTTGAGGTAAGTCTAAATGTAAGGTATAAAGCTTCGTGCCTTAGAATGCATTTAAATGAACTGAAACTTTTAATTGCCACTTTCCGATAGATGATTTAAAGTTTGAGCTTAATTTGCTTCACAAGGCCTCACTCAAGTATGACAGTCACTTTGAGCAATATTTGGTAGGGAGATCAAGCAGAATTTGGGAAATCATTAATAAGGTTGCATTTATAATTGAGGTGGGGTTTTTTTTGCAAACACTGTTCTGTCAGGTAAACTCAGACATTTGCAGACACTTGCTCATTTTGTTTTTTGTTAATGACTGCCTGTCCAGCTGACAAACTACCACATGTTGACTCTCATCTGATCAGACACTGAAGACAACACATGGAGGGATACTTACAGTGACGAGCTAACATCGTGACTTATAATGATATTAGAGCAATCCCTCTGCTCAGCAGCTTTAGGATACATTTCTGCGTCAGAGTAAACAAAGCTGAGCTGGGGCCTTTTCATGATATATCTATTGTCTTTTAGTCTTGTCTCACAAGGCCTTATGAGCAGCCTAGTAATGGAGAGGTAGACAAGAGGCCTTTCAATTCAAGTTAATTTACAACATGCTCTGGGATGTGTGCCATGCTCTCAGTAACTGTCACATAAAGGCTGCATGCCAAATTAGCAAATATTTAGATTAAGATATAGATTTACAGTATTTTTCCAAAGTCTGATCTCACAAGTTTAAATGAGAAAATGGATACCATTCATGTCTGATCTTCTCATCGAACTCTCCAATGAATGTGAACATGTGTGGACAGGCAAGAACTTTTCAGGATTTAGCATTTGAACATTTTTTAAATCCCCCTCACCTACACAAAACCCTCACAAGCACGTACACATGTTCTGTATGACCTGTGATATTATATGCTGTCAGCAGTGCCCTGTGTTCCCAAGGGAGTCTGATAATCACATTTACAAGGGCACAGCACAAACGAGTGCACACCGTTTTACAGCACACAGCCCTAATGACACCCTTGATGCTCTCCAGGAACACGCAGATGCATCAACATGTGCCTCTAGAATGCAGTTGGGAAGGTTAGCGGATGGAGAGCAAAACAAACCCGTCTCCCAGGATGCCCTTTACTGAGATGTCAGCATGCCGTGCTCAGATCCTGCAAAGCATGAACACACACCGCAAAGAGTGACAAGATGTCATACTCGTATTATAAATCTATAGGCGCATTGCAGGGTATTTTTCAAAATCAAGAAATAATTAATGAATATTGTAAAATAACTCCTGGCACAAGATTAAATGACTTACCAAACTTGTGTTTTTTGCAATGCAAAACAGCAGTTGGTATAGAGCTCTTTCTCTCCCATTATCATTCTCTCTTTCTCAACTGTGCACTCAGCAAATCTTTAGGTATCCATTAGCGGGTTATTACACTGTCCAGTAAGGGAACCAATTTAGCTAGGACAGCTCTGCTGGGCAGCACAGTATGGAGTGCTTTCAGGGCAAATTGTGGGCCGCCACCCACCATCCTCCTTGCATATGCTGTACGTCACCACTGACATGGTCTAATTAAGATGAAAAAGATGTGTGCAAGAGAGCAGCCGGACAACACAAATCCTTTCTTCCTTCCAGACTCAAACAGCCTCATCATTCATATTGAGATTACTGTACTTGGTCAGGGAAACTGGACACATTTGGCAGTAGGGCCACTGAGAACAGTGTCAGCTGTGCTTAGCAATATCATGTTTCATTCATATTTCTTTGGTTGATTCGAGAATAGTGAGGAATCGTATTGCTTTTAGAAACAAGTATTTCATGCAGGGGACAATTATTTTTTCAATTGTCCATATTATATTCATAGGGGCTGTGATTTGATTTAGAGTTTTTAAAATTGAGACCACGTTTCCTACAATCCCTATCGCTTGCTCTTGCAAAAGTAGCAATCTAAAGTCAGTCAATATGTCAATATGTAGTTTCCATGTAGTTCAAACCGTGTATGTTCTTAAGTGACAAAATTAATAGATTTTTAATTAAATATTTGTGTTTGAAAATATGGAGGTTTTATAAGAGAAGATAAAGTGTGGCTTATGAGAAAAGTGATTGTATAAACCATCAAAGGTGTATATATATATATATATATATATTGTGTGATAGAGATGTATATAGAATCAACTTCTTTACATACATATGTATATTTCCAGCCTTCCGGTAATGGATAGGCCCACTCTTTACAACTTATTCTGAGAGCAAGGTGAAAGTAAGTCAAGCGTTTACTGCCTGTGGCTTTGTTGCTGAGGTGGCATGTAGAATATACAGATCATCATTCTATTTAGCACATTCTGAATTTTCAGTGAATGAAATTCTCTCAAATGTTTGTGTGAAATCTACCTGTTGTGCTTTCTAAAGGCGGTGCATCTTGTGTTTTCTTCAGGTGAGGGTCCTGGATGCCAAGACCAAAGAGCAGCTTTGTTTTTTAGATAAGGTATGCTGACATATTGTCATGGCTACACTTTTACCCTTTGGTTTCTCCTCGGGTAGCCTTAAGGTTGGAAAAATAATTTACGACAATATATATTCTGTATCAGTTTGCAAATCTCAATAAAACTATATTACGTTTACACTGAGTGAAATATTCCATCCCCAGATTAATGTTTTCTGGCATCATTTGAGATACATTTCTGCACATTTCAGCCTGAGATATGTGCTATTGTTGGAAACCTTGTGATCTCCACTAGAATTTGAAATAAAACTATTTGAGTTGGAACAGTTTTCGGCTTCAGTGATAACACAACAAGGGTTTAATATTTGGTATCCCGTTTAGGTGGATCCCCATTCAACAATAGGAGACATCAAGAGCCTCTTTCACAAATCATGTGAGTGTTCATGTGTAGTTCTATAATATATTGTTCAGTGTTTTTTGTTTTTTGCTGGCCTTATGTTTTATCTTGATCCCTGATAGTGACAGTAAAAATATCTTGTAAAGAACTTGCCGGATTTGAAAAGTTAGCTCATTATCCGAGATATCAATTTGAATTGATATATTACTGTATTGTTTTTTGTTTTTTTTATTGCACATTTACTCTAAACTACAACTTCAATATGGTTCTTAGATAAAATTGACAAACTTGCCAGTCTATTGAGTGAATCATCGTACAATATATCATATCACACCACCCGAGAGAGAGAGGCCCTCTTAAGAACGATTTCTTAAAAACGTCTTCCTCTGAAGCCTGCAGTGGTTCTGTCACCAGTGTGTCTGGTCAGAAAAGTCACCAAATGTTTGCCAAAGCCTGAGGCCATCACAGCAGCAGTGCTCAACGTTATTCCGTCGTGATCAATTATTATTGGGCTTGAGGCCAAACTCTGTGTGTGCAATGCCAGCTCTATCCAACCCTGTATCTGTGTGTGTGTGTGTGTGTGTGTGTGTGTGTGTGTGTGTGTGTGTGTGTGTGTGTGTGTGTGTGTGTGTGTGTGTGTGTTTGTATGCGTTCGTGCGCATGTCTTTGTTCTGCTCAGATCCTCACTGGTATCCAGCAAGACAGGCCCTGATGCTTGATGCCAGTAAGTAGCCATATTGTGATCATTTACTATATTTGTTTGTATTAGTGTCGCATAAATAACATTGAAGGGGCACTTGGCAACTAGGCTCCAAATTGCAGTGGGTGGTAGCTATTTATGTTTAATACTGAACAATTTGGACTTCATCAGCCACAAATACTTCATGGTGGTTTCAGTAAAATGCAGACAGCATTCATGTATTTACCATCCAGTGTTTGATGCTTTGTACAAAATAAAAGGGGAGGTGTTCTTGCTACTAGAGTAGAGTTTATGTTTCGTCTGTAGACTTTTCACCAGGATAGGACAATCTATTGTGTGGGAATATGATGCTGTTGTAGTCCCATAATGTGATTTAGCATCATGATTCCAAGATCTTGTTTATAGTCTTTAGTGTGTTTATACTTTGACTTAAAAGCAATTATGTTAGATTTTTTTTTCTGCAAAACGCAGCTATAAATGTCTTGTGTAACACAAAACATGTTTCTATGCAGCTGTAATAATCATTAGAGAGCAAATTTGAAGTAAGCACAGGCATTAAGTTTAGAATACAGATGGACAAGGGACAGTTATGCTTTTGTTGTCTATAAAGAGTTGACTGTGAAAAAGGTGTGCAGAAATTCAATGGCATTTTTAGAGAAATGTATATGTCCCATCGGACAAAGCACTTCTGTTTTGTCATGTGATACTGATGCAATTTGTGTCATGAGACATGTTCAGCTTCATACACCAGTGTAGCAGAGATCCAGCAAAGCTACTGAAATAACCAGAAAATGCATCCTATGTAATCTCAGGCCTAATGACTCCACAAGCCTAATATTGATGACATCTTGAATAAAACCTAGATGTGATCAACTGAATGGGAGATTTTGAAATGAAATCACCCAGAATGTTCAATAACATTTGCAATGACCTTCACTCTGGAGTGGAATAAAAGCCTTAAAAAGCACCCCGAATCATTACATAGCCACCATTACCGTGGAAACACTGTCTGTTCTTCCTTTAGTTTCACTATAAAAGGTAGACTGCTTGATGTTAATAATTTTTTCATTAATTTTAACCTAATTAAAACAGCAAAAGCAAATGCAGCCCATTAAGTACATAAAGAGAGACCTAACATGAGGTAGGTAATGTTGCAGGGCTTTGAATGGACTATGAGGGTTATCTTGTCAATAAAAAGCACAGACTTTGGTTAAAAGCCATCTGGGCCAGTTCCCCCCTGACGATATTCTAAAAATGCCATCCAATTAGCACAATATATTATCTGTGGCCGTGCTCCTGTGAGCTGCAGGTAGAAAGAACGTGTGCTGAAAAACTGATCACACATTCATTAGAAACACTCTTTATTAAGCCACTATGCTTTGCACTCGACTGCTTAAATGTGCATATTCATAATGAAATTCAGTATGACTGCTTTTGGAATTCTGTCAATATGGTGATTTCTTAATTCTACAAAGCTTGATAGTCTAAAGACTAAAGATTTCCACCAGATAGCAGAACTATTTATAGTACAATTTCTGTTAAAGTTGAATTTGTACATACAATATTTGCCAGTGGATTTTTTTCTTCCTTCTTTTTAGAGGAAAAATCACTCAGAGACGAGGAAGTCTTGCAGAATCTACCTGTTGGGACTACTGCCACGATGTACTTCAGAGATCTTGGTCCACAGTTAGGTTGGACCATGGTAGGAAGAGTACACCCAAATATTACTGATGTAACAGTACCGAGAAAGCTGAACAAAGAGATCAGTGTCTGGAACTGCAAGTTTATATACTTAGAGTCGGCTGACATAATATATTGGGGTAGTTTATTCTGGGAGCAGCTGGCTGATTTCTTGTTTGTAATGACAAGACTATATCAATCAAGTGATTCATCATTGGTTCAAGATATCTCAAGGTTTAAAAATGTCAGTAAAGTACAGAGTATAGAGCCCGGAAAGTGTCATGGAGAGAATATGTATATATACTGGCTCCACAGTAGTAAGATAGTATGGTGTTAACTTTCTATCTGCTCTTGTTTCCAGGTGTTTCTTACAGAGTGCATCGGGCCACTTCTCACCTACCTCCTCTTCTATTTTCGAGTCCCGTGCATTTACTCATACAAGTATGCCTTTACCTCCAGTCCTCATCCTGTTGTCAGGTAAGTGGAAGAAATATACTTCCAACTATAGCGCAGGTTTTTACAGGCTGTGGGTTTCAACCTGCAGACAGTAGGCAAGTCTACTTGGATTTAATTTTTTCGAACAATGACCACATTTAAAGGAATAGTTCCATGTGTTTAGAAAATATGTAAATTCACTTTCTTGTCAGGACAGATGAGAAGATTGATACCCCTCTTGTAGCTGGTTAGCGTAGCTTAAGCTTAGCAGAAAGATTGGAAAAAAGGGTCAAGAGCTAGCCTGGCTAGCCATCAACTAGTCCGGTACATGACCAGCATAAAACCGCAACAGTTTTTTGTGCATATTAAATAGAGCCACAGAGCCAGGGTATCTGTCTCTCCCTGTTTCCAGTTGTTGTGCTAAGCTAACCTAATTGGCTACTTGCTCTAGCTTCATATTTATCATACAGACATAAAACTGCTATTAATCTTCTCATCCAATTCTCAAAAGGGGAATAATTAGTATTCATTAAGTCTTTGATGTTGTGTTTTTTACTGCATGCTTCACTACATATGGAATTACATCTATTGTGGAGTAAAGGTCTCTGTACAGTGAAATCAGCATCTGACAACTAACTGCATTATCTCCTGTCAGTGTACCATCTACACTGGCAGGAGATAATATGACTTTTGAAAAAAAAATCTATATTTGATGCTGCTGTTACAGGATAGTTTGGACAATCTCTTCTATTCATGTTGATTTGCTTATCGATCTACACTCTCTCCCTTAGGGTTTGTCATTTTATTGTAGTAGCCTACCTCAAGGAAACCTTACAAAAAAGGAGTTTTAACTATTGCCATCCATTTTTGTTTGTTTTGACATCTTTTATACTGTATCATAACTCCTCAGTCATTTTTACAATTATTCTCGATATTGTAGTCTTGAATCGAGCTGCGCATGTTTCTATTATTCCAGTGTGTTCTATTATTTAATGTAGGTTGCACTTTCTTTGCTGAATCACAAAAGTGTTGTTGCAACAGTGACCCACTTTGTCACTCATGGATCATTTGAATTTAATCTTTACTCATTTCAACTTTTAAATCTGCTGCATAAAATAGTGTGGTGAAGTCGCACACTACAACAAGAATGTAAGCGCCTGAGTTAAATGTACATACTTGTACTTCCTACCTCATCCTCACCTCTCTGTCTCTCAGACTAGCCTTTGCCTGTCACACCTTCCACTATATGAAGAGGTTGATAGAGACTATCTTTGTGCATCGTTTCTCCCATGGGACCATGCCTCTCAGGACAATAGTCAGGGTGAGGACATGACTACCCTTGAACAGAAGAGCCTCTGATAATGTGCTCAACTCTTTCTCAATGTGTAGCCCCTTTTCCCTGTCCCATGCAAGCTGTTGTGGTACTGATTTTAGCCTCAGGACAACCTCTGATACAGAATGCTGCTCACAACAGTCTCAGTGCAGTGTCCTGATAAGGAGAGTTACTATAGGTCTTCTATTGTTTGTCTTAGTAATTAAAAAATAGAAATTGTATCAAAGTAAGAACATGTTAAGTTCAATTGACAGGTTCATTGTACATCATATTTATTTTTTCTTTTTCATATATTCATACGTCTGTTTGTTTCCTCTCTCAGAATTGTGTCTATTACTGGGGTTTCTCAGCTTGGTTGGCCTACTATATCAACCACCCTCTTTACACACCGCCATGTAAGTCAACCCATGCGCGCGCGCGCACACACACACACACACAATTTTCTGCAGCTTTTCAACACCAGTCTATCTCTCTTCACAGCATATGGAGAACTACAAGTCAACTATGCATTAGTCATATTTGTGGTACGTATAGCGGTATTCACTCAGGACCAACTTACATTAAGTGCACATGTATGACAGTAAGGTGTGAAATGCTTATTTCTGATCCAGATGTGTGAGCTGGGAAACTTCTCCATTCACTTGACTCTTAATAATCTCAGAGGAGAGGGTAAGTTTTACTTCCACACTACTTAAAGGAGGAATTCATCACGTTTTGAAGACATTGTCCAATCCATCAGTATAGATGTGATAAAATTACTAAAACCATCTTAAACCATTCACTTGTTCCCATTTGATCATTTGCTCAGTACTCCATGCCAACACTATTTTGGTTGATTCATCATGGAACATGGATATGGGTTATTATATAAGTTCTATTATTAACTTAATCATACATTTTTCACAAAACCATTTCTCAGGATCCAGGGGCAGGCGGTTTCCTGAGCCAACAAAGAACCCCTTCACATGGCTATTTTTCTTTGTATCCTGTCCAAATTATACGTATGAGGTAATACAAAGCATTTATAGTCATTCATCATGGCAATGAATGTCAACCATACTTGTGTGTTTACCTCTCTGCCTGCCTCTTTATTTGACACATACCGTAGGTTGGAGCTTGGGTGGGCTTTTCCATTATGACCCAGTGTCTGCCAGGTACGTACAGCACATTATGTTCTGTTGATATAAATCCACTTACTGCACCAAAATGTGTTTGTTTTAATACTTCAATGGTTTGTATTCCAGTGGCGCTTTACACATTACTGGGGTTCATTCAGATGACCATCTGGGCCAAAGGGAAGCACAGAGCCTACAGCAGAGAGTTCAAGGACTATCCCAGCCTCCGGATGGCCATTATCCCCCTGATTCTCTGATAGAGATCAAAAAAAGGAACTATTGTAGCATATACCGCGTGTATAGTCACTCGCCACAAGTGTTTTTCACTAAAACAAAGAAGTTTGCTGCTGCTGAGGCCAGCATTATGCAAGTTTTTTATATCTATAAACTGAGGACTAGGAGTGGAAATGGGAGTGATAATAGTGTAGCAATATACTGGAGTATTTAAACATAGCTGGGGTCATTTGTTTATTTGAAACAATGGGTTTTAGTTTCTTCGTGGGAGTTTGATTTGGCATTGTGATTTGAAGTTAATGATATTAGATATGTATATACTGTATCTTCAATGCTGCCATAGACTATTTTGTGTTAACATTGGTTACACCATGTTGTTTTATATTTGGCTTTTTCAGGACGTGACTTAAGGTTGAAAATGGCACCTCAGCATTTTAGCAACTCTTATTCAAACAAGTGAATAGTTCTCATTGCAAGTTGACTTATTCATCTACAGGTTGTGCCACTTCTTTTCAATTATGAATGCTTACAGCACTGATAAACTTTTCAGGCTAAGTGAAAGAAATAAAACATACTCTAGGTCATAATGAAGTGCCTGTCCAAGCAATCTAACAGATTAGAATTTAAAATTCATGGCATCCAATTGAAAGTGCAACATCACTTTTAAGCTCTCAGGAGGTAAACTGATAAAGCAGACATTTAATTATGCAAATATTAAGCCACCATACATCTCAGATTGTGTTCTTCAGAGAAAAGGAAACTATACTGTAGAAGTGTAACTTCTGTCATTAATGTGTAGAGGGCTTATCAAATAATCTGTGATAATTGCTGTTGTTCTTCAGCCCTTACTGTCTAATCTCAGGTTTTATTAAACTGTCAAAAACTGTTTTGTACAAATGTGAATGTGAGTAATCTCAAGCAATTTTCCTGTAAAAGAAATCAAACAGAAAATCTTAAGAAAAAAGGCCCACATCGTCCGGAAAAATGTTACTTTATTTGACGTGATGCCCCTCTCAGAAACATCACTTTTGTGCAATGACACCAGGTGTTGGTGGAATGCAGATCAAAGTTGAACATATATATAATAAAGGGCATTGACTGAAAAGACATTGGCAAGAAAATATCACACAATATCAAAATGATTGCATAGCAGGAGGACTTTGTAAAAATCATTAGTTGTATTGCACTAGCAGAACATCTTTGTAAGAATTATGAAGCTTCAGCTAAAGCTGCCTCAATAAAGTGCTTTGACTATGCTTCTCTGAGTGCTTATTACACCCATCTACAGAAGGCAAAAATTATCTTGCTTGGCAACTGAAAGCAAAAAACACACAGGACCTATGCCTTCTTAACTTTTATGAGATGTCATCAATCAAAGTCATGGTCATAAATCTCAAGCTGTTTCATTTAGTTTGCAAGGCCTACAAGGTGAGCAGAACGTGGAACATATAGCAGGCACACAAATGCTCCACACTTTCTAAATTCAAAGCCCACTAACTCCAGTTACTAGAAAAGTAGAGCCACATGTCGAATCATCAGTCAGACATGACATGTGTCATGTCCCATTTGCTGCCTCATTCACAGACTGCCTTTCAAGGCCTAACACCACACAATAGATCAACAAAGACTGGCCCATTCCAAAGGCTCGTCCAAATGCAGATAAGAAAACCTGTTCATCCTCTGGGTTTTTAGGATCCCCAAACTGATCATGCACCAGTCGCTTGTCTCTACCAGGCAGGACATCATGATGACACTGTAGAGAATCTTCTACTTTGTTTCATTTGAGGAGAAAGTTTTGCCAACTAACTTTCAGTCCTTGGAAGCACACATACATACCGCGTAGGGCGCATTCTTTCAACAGAGCGGCTTCTAAAATGAATTGAAAACCAAAGAAAGTCTTCCAATTGGGCTCATTGAGATACGTTCACTTCTCCAAAGACTTGAAGGGTGTGGCTTCAATATATCGCTGTGCTCCAGCAGCTTTTGGATGCAAGACAATGGTGTCATCCTCTCTTGACTGTTGCTTGGCAAAATTCACAAAAACCTACAAGTAAGTACAGAGAAACATTAGGATCAAGCTATACTATAATATTTGCATGATATACTATATTATGACATTTTTTATGAAATACTATACTATGACTTTTTTATGATTTTTTATATTTATTTACATTAACATTATTAACAATTTGATAACATCAAATATAGTATGACAGTATTATGATACTTTAAATTGGTATTTTATGACATAACTATAGGACTGTACCTAATACCATATTGAGGGCTTTGAAGCTTCAGTGAGAATTATTCAAAGTTATTCAAAGCCTTTGTTTACTTTAGTTGTTTGGCTTCACAGTGGCCTTTGACCAACCAAATGTAATCAGTTCATCCTTGAGTCCAGGTGGATGTTTGTGCCAAATTTGAAGAAGTTCCACTGAGGCATTTCTCAGATATTATGTTGACGTGAGAAGACCGGACAGACAACCCTAAAACATAATGCTTCCGGCCACAGCTGTTGCCGACGTAGCAAGATTTGTTTGAACTAAGTTGAAAGATGACGTATAATGAGAAATTCTCAATATCTATCTCGTAAAAGAGCTAATCAAAAAACAAATGGAATGACATATAAGGCAAGTGGATCTGTGAGGCTGTATTTCAGCATAGCTGTGTTTCAGCTAAATGCGTAGAGCCAGGTTAGCCCGGCTAAAAGTAAAGAAATAGTGAGTTATTCACAATTTGACTAATTTGACTGGTTTTAAACTGAGCCATCTGATCATCCTGAAAGAAGTGTGAAAGGAATAAATGTAAACCCCTGTTCAATTCCCATTTCATAATTCGTCATGGTTTCCTATATGTATTTACCTGGTCAAGGGTGGTTTGTGACACTGAGTAGTCCTCTATCTTGAGTTTGTCTTTGTTAGCAAGGACCATTTGAAAGACCCTCCCGAGGGAGGAGGAGGAGATCTTGTACTGTAGAGTGTTGTAGTGTTTCTCTCTCTGGATGCAGCCAGGGAAGGTGCTCTCCATGAAGGCTTCGGCAGGGTTCAGATCTGGAGCACACCCGGGCTTAGCTGCCCTGATCTTCATGGTCACCACGTAGCCATCACCAAACCTACGTTAACATCGATGTGAGAGAAAAGAAAAAATCTAAAATCGGCAATTTCGTAGAATGCTAATATGATTGGATTTGTGTTTAATTGTTACATGAATGTTACAGAAATTTAAATATATTTAGAAATGTGATACGTGATATGGGATGAAGTAAAATCACTTACTTGTACTTAAGGTGCTGAATGCTTCCCAAACACTTAAAGGATCCATTAACCATAATTGCTAAGCGGGTACACAGCGCCTCACATTCCTCCATACTGTAAAGACAGATGGCGAAATTAGAGCTCATAAATTTGCATACACACACACACAGTCAAACACCCACACCAGAGAGTTTACCTGTGTGAGGTGAGAACCACAGCTCGCCTATCCTGGATAACACTCATGATAGAGTTCCACAGAAAGCGTCTGGACAGAGGGTCCATACCTGTTGTGGGCTCATCCTAATACACAGTAATAGTAACAACAAATACATTAACTTACACACAGAAACACTTAGCATCTTGTCTATCACCTATCCCCGTTCCCCATCCTAAACCTCTAATCCAAACCAAGCACTGTCATAAGGGTGCGCCTCACCAGCAGCACCAGTGCAGGGCAGCCTATCATGGCGATGGCTGTGGAGAGTTTCCTCCTGTTGCCTCCACTGTAGGTTCCAGCACTTTGGCCTACATACTCTGACAGACCCAGCTTCCGGATGGCCCACTCTGCAACCTGAGCATGAGGAGGATACTGTAAGTGCCTCCTGTTGCACAAACCAAATGTGTCAGATTTATGGATTTAGACGACACTATGCACACTATCTAGTTTCCAAATGCACAGGGTTTCTACCAGGACTTGTTGCGTTCTTTGAACGACAGTATTACATTATGACTAGCTGATCATAATGGCCGATTGCTGGTATCTCTCCTCTGTCCAAATCTTGGCATTATTGAAATTATATTGCTGCTTTAATGTGCCCCTACGCTCCTCTCTTTATCAGACCGGCTACTTTTTTCTTAATGCTTACAGTGAAAGGATGTGCTACTTTACTCTGTCTGCAATGCAAATAAAAATATCACCTGTTGTATTCGTCTTTCTTTTTTAATTTACATAATCACAAGGGGTGCCCAATAGTTAACAAGTTAGGCTCGTGGATTGTGTTAATTTTACACAAAAACATTATATATACTATATAAGATACAGTCATCACATTAATCATTTCACAGTGCTCTGTACAACTGTTATATCCTGGCAAAAGCTGCATCTCACCTGGCTGATCTCCGACTCAGGAACTCCACGGAGGCGGGCGTAGAGGTGCAGATGTTCTCTACCTGTCAGCAGCTCATCTATGGCATCAAACTGTGGGCAGTATCCCATGTTCTGGTGGACATCCAGGATGTTGGATAAAATGCTGAAGATTTAGGGGGAAACACTTGCAGTAAACAAAGAGAATGCTGATTACAAGTATCAAAATGTCTATCAAATTACATATTTGTTAGTTGCTATATGTAAAAATAATATATTACTAACCTGTGACCAGCAACTGATGCGGCTCCTGAGGTGACATCAATGTCTCCAGTCAACATTTTAAATGTTGTGGTCTTCCCTGCTCCATTCACCCCAAGTAGACCAAAACACTGCAGAGGGTTAAGAGAGAAAACATGATAGATGAACAATGAAGTGACCAGAATGCTTCCTCTGTGGAGTAAATTGCATCGGTTTAACCACGCAAACCTCTCCAGGTGATACTGCAACACAGATTTGGTCCACTGCAGGGATGATTGTTCCTATGTATGTCTAGTAAGGCGAGATGAAAACAAAAATGCAAGTATATTCTTTGGTGTGAAATCTTTTTTTTGATCATCAATTTTAGCATTTTGTCCAAAGACAAATGTCTCACCTTGGATAGGTCTCGAATGCGTAAAATGTCATTTGTTTTTTCACTCCTATGGAGTCGCTCTCTTTCCTCTGCCACATCTACATCTTCGTCCACAATAGGAGGCTTTGGGCGATCTGATATCCTGCCAATAGAAGAATTAAAATTCAGTGAATCAACTTCAAGTCATTCTATGCAGCAGTCACATCACAATTAGAATGTGTTATCTTGGAATTGTATTACACACATTGTAATTTTTAAGGAGCAATTACTTAAGTACATCTGGCAAATTTTGTTTCTTAATCCAAGCACTACTACACTTACCAGTGATCCATGAAGAAGCGATACTGGAACAAAATGTTTAGGATGAAATAGACAAATCCCTCAACAGCCATGCAAAATAGGTTCTTCCCAATAAAGTTCCAGTTATAGGGGTCTGGACTGTAGTCCTCACCTGATGAAACACATAACATACCTTTCAGTCACGCTTTCACACTTTTTCATTTACATAATGAAGTTTCAATACAATCTTAGAATAGTTTATCTTGAATATATAACAAATTGGTGATTGTAATTGTATTGTATTAATTCATATCTAGTCCTTTCAACTTCCGAGAGTTATTCTTCACTGTTACATAATCTGTTGCAGAGCGTTTGGTGCAAAAGTGGAGTCTTGAGTGTGACAACTCTGCAGTTGTAAGCAATCAGATTTGTGATGCAGCCAGTGACCCAACATTCATTCAGAGTGTTGAGATGGTGGCGGACAGCTGGAGGCTGGTCTGTGAGGTGTAAAAGTAGCTGTGTGTACTTACCAAAACGAGCGTAGATATCAGTAACAGCCTGGTTCATGGCCATGTCTATGAGACCTCGGCCCAGGCAGTAATGGGGGAAGATGAGCAGCACAGCCTTTAACAGCTGGTTCAACTTGTACAGAGCCTGAACAGAAATCCAAATTAGGATGATGTGGTGATATGCAAGAGGCATGGGAGATGGGATTTACAGAGACACGCCCTGTGGTCTTACTGTGGTGCTCTCAAAAAGGTCCAGGATGAAGGTGAGGGCACTGCTGTTGATGCCAATGAAGAGGTTGATACATGACAAAGAGACGTAGGCTGTGCTGGGGACACTGAATATGAAGGACATGGGGTACATCATGGGTGTCACAGACCATCTAAAAGAGAAAGAGATCAAAAAGAGCATCAGTTAAGCACAATGAACGTCATGATCACCAGACACCAGTGATTCCTTACACAATGTTATACTAGACACACTTGTTTTTTGCAAACCAGCTTTGAGCATTACTGTAAAAGAAATAAAGAAAAACAGGATGCACATTTTGTAATATGTATACATATGCATGTGCAGTGTAAAAGTATAGATTTTATAGCATATAGCAAAGCTGATATTTTGACTGTTGCAGGCACTGGGCTGGGTGTGTCGGTAGCTATCGTGAGCTTTGGTGTAAACATGACCCACTGGAGTGTAACAATAATCCGGTGATGACAGTAGCTCACATTAGTAAGGCTGGATGGTGAAAAATATGTGTTTAAGAGAGGCATCTGAAAATATCCATGTGTCCAGAACCAATCAAGCCAGTCAAACAACTGATCGTTGTGGGAACAGAAAGAAAAAGGGTAGTAAACCCTGTATTACCTCATTAGTGAAAAATCAGCCAGTTGTTGTAGAATCAATTCAAGCATTCAGCTTTAAATTTCATTTAAATGGAAAGATCATTTGTTCTTGATTTTCCACAATATTTCAAAATAGAACAGAACCAGCAAAGCTAACAGAGGAAAATGCTGGAGCTTACAGACATTTAATTATGTTGCTTTTCTAAATGACAAGAATGTGAAAATATTGCATATTGGCACAAAATATGCAATATTTATTGGCAAAGGTTATCGACAGTGTAAACATAGAAGCAAGGCTAGGATATTTTAATTCAGCTTTATAGTTTGGCCCCATTGTACATCCGTTTGCCTGAACAAATACAGTTAGAGCTTTAGAAAGACAAATACCTACCCATAAAGCATAAGCAGGGAAATAAGTGGTTGGAGGTTGGTTGGAGAGGTGTAGCACTTCTTATCAAAAAAGATGAATATTTCCACCACCATCGCTGCACTGATGGAGTAATTCAACTGGAGAAACAACAATAAAAACAATGCTCATGAAGAGCAGAAAGCCTTTTGACATGTGGGTGTCTTTACCTTGGTTGTTCTTATAAACATCATTGTTTCATGTAATAGGGTCACTGTACCATGTCCCAGAGAAAGTTGGCCATCCAGTAAACCAATGGACTGACACCACTGACAAACTGCAGGTGTTTGGCCTGGGTGACCCTCTCCTGAATTAAATAGAGGACAAAGCTGGCTGGAACGAAGGACATGGCAAAGATGACACAGATGGCCACCACTGCATCCACTGAGGTGGTCAGGCTGGGGAAAGGACAGAGGAAAATTTAAAAAAAAAACTGACTGGGTCACTCTGAGCTAATCTAGGTGTCACACCCATGTGACACTACTTATTAGAAACTCCTTACTTTTCCTTGCAATCTCCTGGAAAAGTTTCAGACTTTGAAATGTAATTGGATACATGTCCAGCCATTGGTCACTCACACAGTGATCTCAGAGAGCTGCTCCTTGGTGAGGTTGAGAGGGTGGTTGATGGCAGTGATTCCATATTCGTCCAGGTTAGCTCCTTTGGGCAGGTTTGTACGGAGGATGGCGTTGTTGGCCACGTTCATGAAAGAAACCATGGCATGCCAGCCCTTATTGTTGTACCAAACCTGTTGAAAGATGAAATAAATGTATGATGTTAATAACACAGACATTAACTATAGCATTTACTTTTGAGAAAATGATGAACAGTCAATGAGGCAGATGGATCACAGAGATGAAGGTTTCATCCTGATGGTGAGGCTTTATTGGACTGACCTTGACACTGTCTTGAGTCTCCATGTACTGGAGGAATGCCCCTATGTCCTTCAGCGTTTGTTTGGAGTAATTGCCCTGCAACCAACAATTGAAGGCCCAATTCCAAAAACAAATCACAGAAAAGCCATGTGATGAACACAGAGAGACTAGGATAAAAGTGCACAAAGACATAAGCATACACATCATTTTGCATTTTAAAGCCATACCCCAGTAACATTGAGCAGTCGTCCGAGCTGTGCTGCTAGATCCTGGATGGTCTTTGGCTGCAGCTCTAAAACAGGAAGGCGTCCTCCCACTGATATACCTCCATACCTGGACATCACAGAGAAAACCCTGCTGACATCTACAGCTACAGCTACTCAAGCCCAAAGCTGTACCAGACCATAACAACCACTGGAGGGAGCACTGCACCACCACACAACACATCCGTCCATGTAATATATTTTAAAATGCTTATAAAATAGCCCTATTTGGACCCAACTGTAATCCGACAATAAAGCTAGATAAAAACGTGAAATTACCTTTGTTCGTTCACCCAATATTTGCTCTTCAAGCTGAAAGACATAAATATTTCAACTTTACAAAAATACTTTAACTACTAAAATGAAGACTTTTGTACATTTACATTAACAATACTGTACATTTCTTTGTTACATGTAAACATCTTGGATAAACCGTTGTGTCATAGAATTGTAGTTTTTCTCTTATTATGCAACAATAATTTATTTCAACATTCTAAAAGTTAAGATCCATATGGAGGAGAGAATGTATAGTAAATCTGTGATTTTTGATAAAGTAACATGCATTTCATCTCAGTTTGCATTCAGTATTTACTTTTTGGACAAGAGTGTAAGTTCTTCCTTTTGAATCGGTGCGCAGAATCTCATACCTGGTTCTGATGAGGCTGGGGTAGGTCTTCACCAGGTAGTCAGAGATGTTTCTGCCCGTTAGGTCCATGAGAACATCTCCTGTTGACTGGATCCTCTAATACACCAAATAACGCACAGTGTATATTTAATATGAGAAACTCATCAGCAATGGTGGACCTCCAAATGTATGATTTCTGATACAGATGTTCAATGCACAATACAGAATGTAATAATGCACGGTGAGGGTTGATGGTGTGTGTGTGTGTGTGTGTGTGTGTGTATATACGTTTATTGTGGCCGTTTTCAATATTAGTGAGCCAACCTGTGGAGGTGGCAGGCCTCCAGCTCCTGCAGGACACACGGGGAGCATGGTGAGTTTCCTGGGTGTGCTGCACTGACAGTTTGGAGATGGTCGGAGGAAGTTCCATTTTGGGCTGGCCAGCATATCTATTAGGACAGGATTTACCAGGGGCATCTCCCACTCCGTGGTGATGTTGTTACATGGGAAATCTCTACCAGTGGGAGAAAATGACTGATGTAGTTCAACAAGACAGCAAAGAGCATAGTCTGGGTAAAAAATGATCTAAAGTTATGAGGGATACTCACTCCAGTGGTTCATCCGCCAAGCAACGTGTTCCAAAGCCAGGCTTGTTCAACAGCACCTCACCAAAGTATCTCATCTGAGCATCCGTAGGACGCTCATTACTGCAATGGACAAAATCAGAAGGTGTATCTGGAAACATTTTTGTCCAATTCAATAGAAAGTATTGTACTGATCTCAATAAATTGGCAAGTCTCCTCATAACAGCTAAATAGTGCTAGGTGACCTCATGTCCATTATTCCCACCTGAAGAAGGTATACTGTCTCCCATACATCCAGGGACTGAGAGTCAGACTTTGATACTCTCCGAAAGGTGGAACGATCAGCGTGAAGGTCAGTGCCAGGAAAACAAAACTGGCTGGTAGCACAATCTACCGACGACAGATACATAACCGCCATTTAAAAAACAGACAAAATATGCAACTCTGATTAGGATCAAGGCCCTGGTAGTTGGATATTCAACTCAAACTGAATAGCAATATAATGCAGCAAGTAACTATGCGTATACCCCATTACCAGCCTATTTTTCAAATTTAGATCTTATTCCAGTAAATACAAGTACAACATCCCATATAGCAACTCTTAAAACATGAAATGCTATCAAAATTATTTACAGTGCTGCATTAGATTAATTAGTTTGATCAATTATAGCAAGGTTACCTGGGCAAAGAAGTCTTTGTAGGAGCGTGTTGCGTGATGCAACCTCTTGATCAGCAGAGCAAAGAACTGTTTGATGGTGAGACACAGGCCTCTGACCTGGTGGGATCCCCTGCCTGCAGTACCTTCTGGGACATCACACGGGCCCTGGCCATTGGTGTGCAAAGCCCCATCTGTCTCTGGAATATAGAGCTCAAGTCAGGTTGCACAGTCTTACTAGCACAGGGAGTGTACATGCTATATTAAATAGGCCAGCCAGCAAGCCAAGCACGACTTCTGTGAATAGTGATCAACAAGCATTTACCAGCAGTGTTCTACTAGCATCAGGGATGTGGTTCATCATCTTAACATGTTACTAGTGTGCTAGTGAAAGCTCCGGAACAAAATATATATTTATGATGAATAGCCTACATCACCAAGCATAAGTTATCTGCATTACACTGTTGTCAGGAAAAACACATTTGCCAAAACATGTTTTCAGGAATGAATTAAAGAATGTATAAAGCAATAGTTTGACATTTTGGGAAATATTCATTTTCTTGCGGTGGGTTCGATGAAAAGATTGATTGCACATTGTGTTTGTACAATAGATATGAAGCTAGAGCCATCAGTCGGTTATCTTAGCTTAGCACAAAGACTGGAAACAGGAGAAAACAGCGAGCCTTGCTCTATCGAAAGGTAATCCCAAAAAACTGCCTGCTAGCAGCTCTTACTCATTTTGTTATATTGCGCTTGTTAAATACATTCAACAACAAGAAAAGAAGTGCAGAAACGTTATGTTGTACCTTTACAGGGTGCGTTTTTTTGGGAATAATAACTTTACAATACACAAACTGTTTTATGCAGAGATTAAGGAAATAACTATACCAGCTAACAGTCGGTGGCTAAACTAACCAGCTACTGGCTGTATCCTCATATTTACTGGAAAGACATGTGAGTGGTATCAATCTTCTCATCTAACACTTGCAAGTTGAATTTAGAGGGCATTTGCAAAAGTGTCAACTTCTAAGTTGACCTTCACTTATTCTTGTTTTTCAACGAAGGAAGGTTTAATGGTTTCATTTTATGATACATTATGTTCTGTAAACCTTCTTAAATCACATAAATCAATTTGCTTTTCCCACAACAGCCATTTGTCCAGAGCTGTTAGCTAAAAGCTGAATGTCACCTTTTGGTGGTTCCATATCAACTGCCACTCTGTTGAATCCACAGAGACTAGCTCGACAGATCTGTCGCAATGATTTCTTGTCTAAGAAAGTTAGAGAATGGAAAACAAAGGATGTAGTCCACATTAGGGGGCTACGAGAGCTACACCTATACATTCAGACACACAAGTCAACAGCACGAGAAAGACAACTTAAGGAAAAGTGCTACAAAAACTTTGAAGATTTTTTTTTTTTTTACCTGGTATACATTTCCTGTTAGTTGCATTCCCATTACCAGTGACCTTTAGGAAAATCTACAAAGAAATAGCTTATTTTAGTTGTCAGGATCCAAGATTAACAGATGCTCTTCACTACATAGCCTCATGTAACGGAACCTAATCACTGTAAAGGTGAATGTCAGGAAGAGTCTGTATGACAGATTGTCCCAATAAAACTCTCCTTGCTATCAAATTGCCGTTTAGCAGAAAAAATACATAATGGTGTGTATTCGTAATATAAATCATAATCTGTGTTATTCAGGGGCAGTAATTGTCAGTTTGATCTATTGCCTCGTTTTTTTTATTCCTGGGACTAAAGTGTACATTTATAAACAAATAACCTTTTTTCATTTTCCTAATGAATCACAATTGCATGTAGTTTTTAAATACAACGCAGTGTGATTACTACAGCTGCTCCCATTTCATTTGTTATTATTTTCATGCACCTCCTCCAGCGATGTGTCAGACACACCAAAGCTGCTGAGGCCAATGTCCACCAGGGTTTCCTCCAGCTCCCTGAAGAGGCTAGCGTAGGCCCTGGGCTGGAAGTTTCGGTTTGGCAGCAAGTAGGTCAGCTCCTGGCCAATGGCCTCGATGAGACGAGCCTCTGGCACGTGATGGTGGATCAGGGCTGTGATGTTTTCCATGTTACCTGAAGATGAGAGGTGGGAAATGATTTTGCTTAACTTCAACTTCCATCACACATTAATGGCTTTGATTGTTTAGTTTAATATCTTATTGCCTGCCCTTTACCTCTCTTATAATGAAAATGTTAAGCAGGCCGCACCAACACTATTAGTAAAAAGATGCAACTAAGAAAACAGAATATCTGACAACTGACAGGTGACGAGTAAAAATGTGGTGTGAGAAAATTAAGTGTCCAAAATCACAGCAGTGAATGAAGAAAAACGCATTACATTATTAATAATAATAATTATAATAACTTTATTTCAATAGCACCTTTAAAAAGAGAGTTCACAAAGTGCTTTGACAGACAAAGCAGCAAAAACAATACAGCATTGGTTGCGCAAAACTGATGTTGACCTTTAAAAGGTCTACAGTAGTACATTGAGTACAGTCAGTAGGGTGTTAGGTATGATGGCAACAGCTACAGTAAGTAGACTGACTACAATCCAGTGCAAAAGAGACAAAGGATTTGTGCTCTATTGCAAGTTGACAAGACTAAAAATAGGTTTAAGGAGATTGACATGAACTTGGCATAACACAGTGTTCTCTAAAATTACAATAACAAAATAATGGAACCTACCATCCATCTGTCTGTCTTGAGGCTGGCTCTCTTCCTGGTCCACTTTAAACTTTGAACACTTTGAACATGTACAGGAGCAATCATCTGTACAATCACAGCTGGCCTGCAGGACAAAATGTTATCAGAAACCATAATATATTGTATATACTCCTGTATTTCTGGACTCATTAACATACAAATCACTAAATGCTGTTTCATATACTCTTCTAGCCAGATAAGAATTACATTCTAGCACTATAATAACTACATCTTCAACCCAAATTCATCATTCCACTTCTAAAGCTACCACTCTGGACCATTTAAAACCTAATGCACAAAAGCACACACAAAGCTCCAGGCTCGCACCTTTGGAGTATTGTCTTTTATTCGTCGTACAAGAGTGAGGTAGAAGCCAGCGCCAAAACAGTTCTTGAGAAAGATGGGGGAACCGCAGCAGTAGAGGCGGCCCTGAGACATGATAGCCACCCTGTCACTGAGCATGTCAGCTTCATCCATGTGGTGGGTGGACATGATCACTGTGCGCCCTGCAACATGAGACAGAGAGGGATGATGAGGAATGGGTAAATAGAGACACATGAAAGAAGGATAGATGTTTGATGATTCTGATTTAGGACAATCTTTCTTTTTTATCTCAATCCAGACCATCAAGATTAAAGGCAGCTGAGCTGGCCTGAATGTGGTATCTTAATTTCAGAAGGGCAAAGAATATATGACATAATTGCTATACTGAATACATCTTTCATAATTTTAAGACAGAGTCTTTTATTGTGTACAACAGATTAAGTTCAGAACATTTTTAGAGATCAGGTTTCGTGGAAGAGCTGTCAGACATGTTGTCGACAGTGTCATCAATGATGCGATGTTTAGTTCATGACCCAGGTTGAATTATTTTTGGCCTGACTAGACAAACCTGTCAGGTTTGTTCATCATCTCAGCTCTACATGTCATGTAATATAGCATGGCAAGCTACACTGCTACTTTGTTTATGATTATTTTCACCCCAGATCTCTTCTAATCGGTTTACATGCAAGGTTTAAAAGTAGTTGGCAAGGAAACCTGATAATGCCACCTAATTCATAATTAGAAGGTAAGAACATTAAGCATACTAATATCTAATAAATGATATTCACTTAATTATCTATTTTCCTGCCAGACACCATTTAGCCAACTACACATGTTTGGCAGTTATTACAGATACACCATTGTGTTAATGGGACAAAAATGAACACAAATTTTTGAAAATATTTTAAATAATACAAATAACACAATAGCATTATGAACTGCAACCTATTTTTAAAAGATGGATGGTGTCCATGGCAACTCACAACACATTTGGCGTCTAACTGTCAGTGCATAATGATTTCATATAGAGCATAATATAAGACAGTTAAAGTTGGTGATTTCAAGGAAAAACTGAAACCGTTTTTTGTCTTTTGGGATTGGAAAACACGTGTGTGTGTCTATCTGAGGGGGCAAGGCCTCCACAGCACCATGACATTAGGGTTCTATACCTTCTTCTAGCCAGCAAGGATCAGTCTTACCTGCACGGTATTTGAGCAGCAGGTCCCAAATGGAGCGCCTGGAGTAGGGGTCCACCCCTGAAGTGGGCTCATCCAGGATCACCACCTTGGCCCCACCAACAAATGCCAAGGCAACAGATAACTTCCTCTGCATGCCCCCTGAATTAGAACATCATAAAGTACTAACAGCGCTCATATCATTGTGTGTGTGGTTTGTGTGGTAGTAAGCATAAATACATTTGTACATACAACTGTTCATACACCAGCATCCTGCACACCAGCTTTTAAAAAAAGTACTTTGCAACTGTTTTGATGAAGAAGCATCTTTACAGACCTGAGAGGTTCTGGGTCAGTTCATCTCTCTTGTGGGGAAGACCCAGATCCTGCAGCATGTTCTCCACTTCCTCCTGGGCCTCTGCTATTGGACGGCCTTTCAACAGCGAGTAGAAGAGGATATGTTCTGCTACAGTCATACTGACAGAAAACAAATGAAAGATGGGGAAATAATAATTCAGTTACAACAATATAATTGTGTAAACGATACACAGCAAGCATGTCTTTTTGTTTTTTTTATCACAATGTGTTGAGAGTTACATACTGCTGAAAAAGGATGTTGTATTGAGGGCACATTCCTAGAGACAGACGGATGTTGTCCATGTCTGTGCGGATGTCCTTGCCATAGATGGTGGCTGTCCCTAAGGTGGGAGGGAACATACCGGTCAAGATGGACCTAGGATGAGGAGACAGAAAGAGAGAAGTAAATGAAGACTACTTTAAAAATGTTCAGCTCTTACAGTTATTGTGTGCGAGTATGCATATGTGTGACATACATGGTGGTGGTCTTCCCAGCACCATTTTGGCCCAGAATGGCAGTAATCTGGCTCTCATAAAAGCTGATGCTAAGGCCATCCACGGCTGGTGTGGAGCTACTGCCGAACACCTTGACCAGGTTCTGGATACAGACACCCTTCACCAGGTCAGCTGGCTCTGCTTCAAAGAATGGCTGACCTGCATAAAGCAAAGACAACCAGATAACCGACCACAACCAAACCATATTGCAAAAAGTGACAATCGCGTCTACATATCATATTTCTTTCCCTTTTGTGAAAGTAAAAAAAAATCTAATTTGATCTCACAAATGTTTACGAAAGACACAAATGTGATCAGGGGACTGGAATGCCATAACAGTTAAAAGAAAAGTTTCAATCACTTATTAACTAAGCATGATACTGACAAGTTAGCAGTATGTGTGTTCACATATACCAGCAAGTGCAAACACACACACACAAGGACACTGAGTTCCCACACAATGACTCTGACTGGCAGAGAGGGAAAGTGAGAGCAAATAGAGAGAGGGCTTGAATCCCAAGTGAGATAAAGTGTTGGCTTGGAGAGATATTACATCTACATAATCAATACATTATGTAATGAATTATATATGGAAGAATGCTGTAATTGCTTTTTCAGAATCAAGCAGAGATGCTGATAGGCAATAAAATGCAGCTGTAATGTGCAATAATGAAATTGTGATATAACTGTGTATCTATTATACCCTGGGGTACAATGCAGCCAGCTTTGTACACACCGTCTTTGATCTGGTTCTCCTCAGCCTGGTTCTCCACCAGCCTCTCACCCTGATCCTGGTGATCACATGACACTGTCTCTTCCAGAGTCTTGGGTTTCTCTCGGTCTTTTTCCTGATCTTGGTTTTCCACCTCTTGCTTCTGCTGCTCTCCTTGTTTTTTGTTTGTCAGGTTATCAAAGCCTTTTTTATTCATCTCCAGTTTGCTGTTGTCTTTGGAGACCAAATAAAGGATTTTAAAACTGACTTAGGATTGATATCGGTAAATTATGTCACGAGATAACAGTCTCTCCTCTAAGCATACATATTTTATTATGCTCAGTACGTGAACAGGAAAAATAGTAAGCAAGTAAGCTTACCTGAAGCAGGAGCCACACTGTTGAGCCAATAACAGGGCAGGAGGGGGAAATAAAATGGTCGACCAATTCCATACTGGCCTGTAATAAAAAATATATAATACATGAGCTACAGTAAATGAATCAAAACAGTATCAAACCGTTCATTTTTCTTTTATACACTGACCAGGGAAGACATTGTCCATGTACCAGGCCAGCACAGCATACAGCACAGTATCCAGGCCCATCATGCAGATGGAGGTGAGAAAGGAGAACTCGTCCCCCTCTAGAGGGCTGGTCTGGATGTTGTCCCACTGCAGACCAAGGCCCTGCTCTTCGTACCGTGACAGGTACTCCGTCCCAAAGCCAAACGCCACTTGGGACAACAGACTCTGTGAGGAGAGGCAATGGTAAACTCATCTTTTTTCTACATTTAAGGCTCGTACTTCTACCAACTGCCTAAAATTAATTCATTCTGTGTTTAATCTAAGACTATGACCAAGAAGTTTAGACTGTGGGAATGTGTGATGGGCCTCTAAATCATGTTTAGTGTTGACTTTGGCATAGGTATAATGCCTTGGGATCTAATAAATCTGTGACACAATTAAGGAACAACAATTAGTAGTGTTTTAAAATGTTGTGGTAAAATCCAAAGATCAGTTCCTGTATTTGATAATACACGTAGAAGAGTCAAGAATTGAAGATTGTGAGCAGTTAAATCCTGTGCTGTAGCTGAAATTGATTAATTACTGTATATATGGTATTTTTGGTACATTTTTTCAACTGAAGCATGTTCCTTTTATAGTGAGAGATGCTGAAATGGGACACCCACCACCAAGATCTTCATGTCCTTGGTGATGTGGTCTTGCCAGGCGAAGCAGAAGACGTGCGGGAGGTAAAGTGCAAAGTAAATGATGCCGCAGCAGGCAGCTGCTAGGTTGGCCTGGTTGAAGAAGACACTGAGGAGGAAGCATTGCATGATGGTAGCCGTGGTGAAGGTGAGCAAAAAAAGGAAGAGGATGACGCCGTTGCTGTAGTTTAGTACCCTTCCTCCCTATAGGCCGGAGACAGAGAGAAATTGGGTTTTCAGTTGCAATCCCCTGAATCTGCATAGGAATTATACCAAACGTACATACTCTGGATGTATTTGAAGGCATAGGGATTAATGTTGGGAACTAAACATTAAAGTTGTCTTCATATATAACTGATTGGTTGTTCAACATTGATTTTCAAAACAGAAGATTTTCCACACTGTATGACAATGTAACATATGTGAAATATGTTGTTATTATTATGTACAAAACTGAGTGAAATATACCAGTCCAGGGAATCATGTTTTACAATCAATGTGGAATAATCTACAGTGTTCAAATGGCTTTTGCATAATCATTTGAATCAAACAAATTTTTGTTCATAGTCTATTTTAAATATATAGAAACCTTGTAATGTTTAACAGCATTGTAAAAGTAGTTGCCATGTGAAATCAGGGCTAATAAATACCATATTGGTCATACACAAATATACATTATTTGGGTAAACTTAAAACATTGCTGAACACTTATCGTCCGCTAGAGGTCAGAATAGCCCATCTTACAGCAATATGTCAGTTGAGCCACTGGCTGGCAACAAGAGATGACTTGTGACTCTTACAACATAGAGGAGTTAATTATTGACTAGTACATTCCTCCAAAGCTGTTGACATAATTCCCATGATGTCATGGTATTCACAGTTTTTCCATCAATGATTTACATGTATGCAATCAGTAAGCCACTGTCGTTATTAGTTCAAGGAAAAAGATCTTGTAATGCCTCAGAGTAAAACTGGGTGATAGTTATCATGATCATGCTGAATTTTTTATTTTAACAGACTGATTAGCTTCACAGAAAAATTAGGTGTTTCTGACAAAAGATGGAATGTAGTCCAAAATGGTATAGCAAAAATGGCAACTAAATGTAATTTAAGTGAAAATGAAGGTAATCAGAAATGTCACAGGACATAGTAGAGGATAGCCTGCACTCTAGGAGCTCCATTCATATACGTACTGTTTACTTTGCATTATCAGTCTTCCACCTACAGTGGCATCAGGTCTTCTGCCCAAACATACAGTGTCTGTATGGAACAAATTAGATGGCGCAGGAATGAGGATTTTTAGAAGCTTTTTTGGAAAATTCTTCCTCACCATGATGATGGCGGTGAGGAGAGCAGTGCTAGTTCCCATCATAAGGAAGCTGTCAATAAACCAGGTGGACCAGATGACGCTGTTGGTGACCCCCATGGCCTTCATGGTCTCCTTCAGCCGGAGTTCCTTCTCCAGGACAATACTCTTGACAATCATGGACACAGAGTAGACCCAGGCCAGTACCATAAAGATGGGGAAACAGCGGTTCAATGTCAGCATGAAGCTGGATAAAGAAGGGGAAGGAGAAATAAGATGAAGGAGAGGGACACAGTTACTGAGTTGAGGAACCAGAAATGTGTGATTCTCAAAATCTATCAGGTTCACTATAAAAGAGTAGTTTACTAAGTGACGTAATGCTAAGTTGTGACTGTACCTTGAAAATCAAGAACTAGAAGAAAGTCAACAAAACATCTGCAATGGCTGTTAAATCTAATTGAATTTTGTTTAAATTGACTAAATGATCAACTTCTCCACTTACAGATCATCGACATAACAAGGGTAGGGCATCTGCTGTAGGTAAACACCTAGTGGCCACTCCTTTCCCGTCTGAGTCTTGATGATCCCATGTTCTATTATGTCCTGGAGGTAAGCAAAGCCGCCCCAAACATAGCGGAAGTCATCCATAGGATCAGCTCTGGGGCCAGGATCCCAATACCTGAGCAATACACACATAATTAGTTTTTACGCTTATCATTATACTAAACCCATCATTTCCATTTGACTTTGATTCTAACCTGTCTTTGACCTTATTGGTGCGCTCCACTGCATCAATATCCATACGGATCTTGAACTTAACATGAGGTGGGACATTGGTGGTCCAAGGGTGCATATTTACAAAGACAAGACCTGCCCAGAACTTGCTGTCCTTCAACAAGTCCAAGGCCCAATAAGTGACGGTGTCTTCGTCAGGCACAGCCACAAACTTATCCAGGAGCACACACTGAGTGAGGGAGAAGGAACAAGACAGAGACAGTCATATCTGTTTAACAGAATATTGGATTTTACTTAAAAAGAACACAAAATCAGTTTCCCTTTAGATCACTTACTTGAGTTTTACATACACTGTATCAAAATTGTAGACATGAAGGTCAACAATCCAGCAATCAAAAGGACTTTTTAAGGATTTTTAGAAACATGCCTAACCTTGATAAATCAAACGTATAACAAGTAAATTGACTTTTGAAAATGTACAGTATTAACTGTAAACTGATATGATTACATGTGAAACAAGAGTTTCTTCCACAAAAAGTACTCAGAAAGAAGACCACAAAATGCCCTCAGTGGTCAATTCTTTGGTTGTAGAATTTAGCTAAACCATCGGTCATTGTGAATTGTCTTAACAGACATGCTAGCACCTTTGTGAGGCTGCACTTATTGTAGGCACCGAGGTGCTGTGAGCTAAATGCTACTTCAGCATGATAACAAACTGATAATGACAATGCTAACCGTGTACCAGATTTTATATTATTTATGCATCCAACAGTTGGCAAAATATTTCAAGAACACTAAAGTCAATAGAAATAATATGAATGCCTAGAAATGTCTGTGCACATACATCCATCAAGATGTTGAAATATATGATAAGTGGAAATTGACTTGCTGGTGGTGGTACAGAAAGTTCAGGGGATCACTAAAGTCTTCATGGATTCATTATCTGGGAACCACGAATGTTTGTACAAAATTAAATGGCAATCTATTTAATAGTTAGATATATTAAAGTCTCTATTAGAGTGGTGGACTAACGTTTCCATCGATAGCGGAATGCTGCTAGCGTGGCTAAAAAGGTGAAACGCTGAGAACTGCCAGTGTTGGCTCGAGTCACTGTGATCTACACTCCAAATCCACATTTGCAAAGAAACTTCAGCAGTGGTTGTCTCTTTCCTGCAAAGTGTGTCTGATATAGCTATTCACTGTAGCCTAATGCAAATAGGGAGGGCCGTAATCCAAAAAGAAACACTCCAAACAACAATTCACCCTTGAGATTCCATGGACAAATACCCACCAAAACCAAAACACACATTTGCTTTGAAAAAACAGACATGCATCCAAAATGCATGCATATATGCATTCACAGACACGATATACACTAAACACACCCAACTAATTATTCAAATCTCAAACACTGCCCCTTAATTTGCCCAAGCATTCACCTACTAACACTGCAGCCCCACTGTGTGGTGTGTTACGCATGCATACCACCAACGTGCAGCCAACCAGCCATCAAGCCCACGGTCATTGTTGTCGCTTTATAATGGATGGTGGTTGGAGTGACAGCTGTAGCTAATCGGCCTCAATCGTTCCCACTCTCCCTGTCACACTCAAGTGCTGTAAGCTTCAACTTGGACAAAAACAAAGAGCACCAACCATCCACCCAGCAATGCCCCAAGGTGCCCCCCATGTCACCCCCCAGTGTGATAGGCCCCTCATCCCGATTAGCCTCCACAAGGAAAGGAGTGATTTAAACTTTGTTTCAAATGCATTGGTCCACTAAATGTGGAGGGCACTCACAAAAGAAGGTGTATGATGTTTTTCTGTTGTTTTTTTTAATCCTCCACTCCATCAGCAAACAAAAGAGACTCGACAGCTAGTTTGCTGCTATGGCTCTCGCCCACCTGGGTAGATTTCACAGTCTCTGAGCGGGCAGACAAATTGCAGAGCCCGAAGACAGCTCATCTAAATGCTTACATAACATCAAGACTTGTATTGAGCACATAGTGGTTAGCCAACCAGGGTATTGAAATCAACAAGTGACAAGACTTGGCTTCATTGGATTATTTCATGAATAGGCCTGTCCTAAATCTTGACATCTCAGGTGGAGTGAAATGTGGAAAAACAGCCCACATTCTTGCCTTCAGAGCCCAATGGGAGAAGTTGGCAAAAACAATCCTGACACCTTATTCTCATCTGGAAATGTGGAGCCGGTATGATTCTGCATTCTGACACATTCCTCAAAATCTAGGTAGCGTTATTTTAAAGAGGCAAGTAATGCCTACTGCAAGACAAGGAAATGCTAAAACGATAGATGTGTTTTACTCACATCCCCATATTGGTTGAGCATCCGAATGAACCGGTCAGTGAGGTTGAAGATGTCTTGCCAGTCAAAATCAGGCACGTCGGCCGGACGGTCCTCTGGTGAGCCATTGTACAGGAAGTTGAGGATGTGTTTGGAGGAGAACAGGGCCTCCTCTAGACTCCTGTCAATAAAATCCATCACAGATGGATTGCGGATAGTGTCCTAAACACAAAAGGAGGTAGGGGAATAGGCTTTATTTCCCCTGGGTTTTTTTCCATTAAGAGCAAGACTTATTTTTAAGGATGATTTTTCTGAGACACCAGTACAAACACAACAAACATTTCACAAAAGCTAAACCAAGAGGAAAAGTGAAAGAAAAAACAGCATTAATGAAACAAAAATTAACTTATTCAAGGCACTAACATTGGTCTGACATTTTTTTTTCACAAAGGAAAGGGGGTTAAGAGAAGGGTAACTGATTAAAATAAATACTACAAAATGTATAGTTAATGTGAGGTAAGCGAATAAGGACAGTCGATGGGGTTTACAGGGAAGTCAAAAGGAGAAAATAAGAGGAGTGATAGACACTTAAAGAGAGGCGGAAAGGGGAAAGAGATGGCATATTTTGGTAAGATAAGGTTCTATATTTAAGCAGGAAACTTTGTGAATGATGAGACCTCAGCAAAAAATTTCAGTGAGGAAACGATCAGGATAAAATAACAACATCATCAATCACTGTACTCAAGGGGAAAATTGTTTGGCAATGGATGTCAGCTGAATGGAAACACAATGGTAGATTCTGATCATATCTACTGTAACAGGCACAGTAGGACTGGTACGTGGAGGTCATTTTACACCACAATTGAAATCAGCTGTCAGTTTTAAGTAAGTCAAATCCAGCGATCTTGCAAGCAATCTTGTGTTTTGTTCATTGATTCTTCCGATATTCAGTTGCAGTTTTAAGAAGTTTTTACAACAAACACACTTTATGTGTCCTCATCAGTGGTGGGCCGTCAGGGCCAGCAAAGCCTTCTCCGCTGGCCTAGGTACTGACGGAATCCCAAAGTTATAGCTATTTTATAATTTAATCATTTTTCACAAATACACTACATGTATTCTAAATATTTTTTCCCATTAGCTTATTATCTCATTGCACAGCTACTGTCTTCCTCAGTTGCCCTGCTTCCAGCACAGCTTGTTTTAAGTAGAGCTTTTATCCAATCAGATTTTGCCTCTACGCTGTCTCTAGGTAAAAGCAATCTGCCTGGAGGCCTGCAGAATTACAAGTGAATCCCTTTGCAGTTTAAGTAAATGGGGATGATATTGTTGATTGTCATAGTCTTCAACCAATCAGATCTTTAGTTTGACATTTGGGCGTATTCTTTGACGTGCCAGAGCCTTCTAGCTGGCCTACAAGTACGTCAGCATTAACGTGCGGCTTGATTGGTCAGTGGGCTAGCGTGACTGTTGCGAAACTAGCTAGCAGAACTTTGTAGTAGTAAGAGTTAAATTTTAAAGATATGTAAGAAGTTTTTAGGTGACATTACATTGTCATTGTGTTAATTACATTGATTTTGACTATATGCATTGCCCGTTAATTAATTACGAAGCATCCTGTCATGCTGCGTCATAATGAGGTTATTATGAGGTGGTTCAACTGTAGTAGGACAGCACTGAAGGCCCAGGTATAAACAACAGGGCCCGCCACTGGTCCTCATTTCATGTTGTAGTGTTTAAACTATTTAGTCACATTATATTGCGGTCCTACCCGGATCATGTTGATTTGGACTCCATCTTGGAAAAAAGCCCAGATCTGAGGAGCCACTTCTTCCCAGGCCTTCCCCATCGTCCTCAGCCTCTCCAGCTCCTCAAATGTTGTGTTTGCCTGCAGGAGAGATAGAAAAGTGTGTGCGCATGGGTGTGTGTGTGTGTGTGTGAGTGGTTGGTGTCTCAACATTGGAAGGACAGGAAATTGTTGTCAAAAATAAACATGCACACACAACTAGTCTCACAAATGCTCATATCTGGGAGCACAAAATTCAGAAATATGGGACCACATGCCAATAAAAACGTTTTGCACACATGTATAGAAGAACATGTTGGGAGGGGGAACTTAAAATCCCCTTGTGTATACGCATGCACGTGTAGGCCTACACAGCATTTACAAACTCAAAAACACACATTGTCACTGTTCTCCTAATCTCCTGCTACATACCATTCCCACATTAAACTCTCTGTGAAAACAGGCTTTGCAAAGACAACACACACATTCTCACACAAATAATTCCTGCGGGCCTGCTCAGATAACCAGCAACTGTGCAACAAATGTACTCTGTGCCAAATCGTCAAATATTTACTGCACGCTTATCATTAAAACCCTGGATGTGTGTGGGTACAGTGCCTTGTGTAGAAATACCAAAGGCTGGCTATTTCAGTATTCAGTCATGTGCAGTGGGGGATGAAAGCGCTCAAGAGTACACCCAATTAAACGCCTTCCTCTTGTGTGTGTCTGATTTTGGGTGACAATGGGGACAATGGAGCCGGGGTGACAATGGAGGCTGTTGGTGACAACTGGCCGAATGCATTCAGCCTGCCCAGTGAATCCCAGTCAGTTTCCCACAAGTGAGTGCCTTCTCATTCTCCGAGGCAGTTTAAAACAGCAAGCAAAAGCAGGAGGACTGGGGTTTCCTTGAGGTGACTTCTTAAAAGGGGCAGTGGGCCAAGATGTGTGGTATTTTCTGCCTGTATTTTGTACCTAACTTATATACCTACAGTACATACATATGGTGCAACAAAGTGAGCACTTGTGGAAAGTTTAGTTTAGTTAAGTATTACCTACTAAACTCAATGAAATACCCTGACACACACACTACTAAACAGATGTATATATCACACCAACATTACACTATGTTAGGCCACTGTTGCCTTAAAGTTTGTATCACATATATATTTTGGTTTTCATTCCAAAAATGTTCAATGTATTAATAACTGTACTGTGAAGAAATATCAAGCTTGGTGCATTTATGCAAATCACAATGATACGGCCTTTGTGAGCCTCCACTGCTTGTTAAAAGTAAAATATCAGTGATGGCAGACCTGCATAGCTCATCATCACACAAGAGCAGTGAAAAGCATGAAAACACACGTTTAAATGCTTCACTTGGAGTTTCTTCTGAAACAAACCGATGCATGACAGTGTTAAAAGGAAGATAACAAAGAGCTTGTAGAGGCCATGTTTTTGGTCTCATAAAGTAATGGATTAACCCCTTAGTCGTTACTTTCTAAGTGCAATTAAGATCCCAATCTGAGGGAAGAGGAAAACAAAGAGGGCATTAAAGGTCAGGAAAGAGGAAACACAAGTGTGTGTGTCTCTCTTTGTGTGCGTGATCACACGTCTTTAAGGACAGACTCTTTCTGCTTACATAACACTGAAAAAGCTGTGGCGCCAGTGGACTGTGTGGTAGCCGATCAGCCCGTGTTCTTCCATTGCAACCAAGCCATCCATGACTGCTGCCCCCCTGAAGGGCTTTGACCAACACGTATCGACATCTAGATACAAAGGGCTGGACATGACATGAGGAAAGCTGATCCCCTTTTGAGGGTAATGCATTGTTTACTGCAGTAGGCTTGCTTGCGCACAAAAAAATCAAAGATACGGATGTCATGGAGTAACAGACATCATATAAAAGGTGATAATCTGGGGAATCTGTATCTATCTTTATATATTTTTTATTTATTTGCTCAATAATACCAACAACTATCTAGTTCTTCCACCGTCTATTGAAAATAATACCCAAAAATGAAAATGCATCATGTCTTCATCAGAAATTTCAGCAATAGAAAATCAATAATTTGAGGCCTGCAGAATCCTGCCAAAATGAGTTAAGTGTATGAAACCATGGTTCTACACCATGCTTGGGAAAAATGCATCCACAGAGTGGCCAATGCTTATTACATTTCGTATGATCTGCCGGACAGCCTGCGAGTCAGGAGCGTAGAGGATCCGTCCCATCAGCATCGGCTTGACAGAGTTCCACACAATCTTGGTGGCAGGGTTGGACTCCAGCTCTTTCATCAGATCATTGCAGAAAGGAGCTGCAGGGAAAGGTTATGCATTATATAATTAATACATTCTATTGAAAGAGAATATGGGAAGTGGATGAATCATTTTTATGCTCATCCAAATATACTACAATTATGTATCATCATTGGCAGTGTGAAGATCGGATGAATAAAGTGTTTTTGAAAAAATACTAATAGTCGTCAATCTTGAAAGAAGGAATAAAGAAAAAAGGACAAAATGTTTATTCCTATACAACACATTTCAGGAGGGGGCCACAATGATTGAGCCATAAAAAGATTCAGAAATGCCCTCATCGTGATTCTACTTGATCTTTGTTTTGCATATAGCCTAACCTCACACTAAATTACCAATTCCTACTCTAACATCTGAAAAACTAACATACTAGTAGTATATGTGTCTACTCACTGGTGCTGTTGTCGTATGTGTAGTTGCCCTGTGCCCTGTGGCTGCTGATGCCCATGAAAGCTTTGTAGTTATTGTCCTCGTACCAGTTAAAGGAGGTGACTCGGGAGAAAGCGCCCTCAGTGTAGCCACATACCAGGCTGGAGGCAGTGGCCATCACCTCCCTGAAGGACAGACTGTTCTGGAAGAGAGGAGTCATGACCTGGAGAAGCTCCCTAGAGCTATTCCTCTGGTACAACTGTGGAGGGATAAGAAAGTAAAACAGAGCGTAAATAACAAAAGATAAATGTTAAAGATGTGTTAAGAAGCAATCCCAGTGGATTGATCGATACAGAAAATAAGCAACTGTGTGGTCAAAAATCTGGTTCATTGATAAAAAGCCAGTTCAAAATTATACTTTTAATTACTACAGTGCAAGGTTTTGTTCCTGATTGCAGTCTCTGATGCAACAATTCAATGTTGTGTAATGTGTCATGGCTCCTTTTAGCACCTCTGGCTGATCACAGAACACACTTGTATATTTGCATGGCTACCTGTTTGCCAGATAAAGGAATACAATGTATGCATAGGAATGGGGACAAAGACAGGGGGGGGGTCACCCTGATGCTATGCCTTTTTTTAATCTACATTTTTAGATAAACTGAAGCATGACATGTTCCTTTATAAGTTATGAAAAGCCTTAACCTCACTTAATTCCTTACTACACCCCACTTATCTGAAAAACACATCGTCACAAAGCTGAAAATTATGCTGTGGTCGCCGTTGACACTATGGAACCTTAAATACAATTATGTATATATTGTTTTGGCCTTGATCGTTCACACAGTTTCACGTCGTCTGTCTCTGCTATAGACAGTCTGTGGTCAAGACAAAGACAAGTGTCGTGCCAACAGGATGTCAGACTGTCAGCTACACTAACTATCCCATGGAAACATCCACAACAAACAAAACAACTTTTATAGACACACCCACTGAATGTTTACAATTACGAGTACACCACAACTTATAAGGATATAACTGCACATATATATGTACTGTATATATATATACACACACACACACACACACAAACAGATCCCTCAATCACCTTTGACGTTTAACCTTTTCCATGTATAGAGGCTTCACCTGATCTTGCGGCCACAGTTGTTTCCATCTGGATGGTCCCATAATGATGATGTATCTGTTTTTTTAGGCTTAACAGGCCTTTTCTGGATTTAGCCTTCCTATTACGCACTAAATGATATCCCCCTACTGTCTGTTTGCACATGAAAAGGCAGGCAGGGGAAGCAACTGTTTCCTGACAGCTAAAATTAGCAGGCGGTGAACTTAGAATGGTGCTAGACTGAACCATGCCTTACCTCTCGCAGTTTGTCCGAGACAGCAGAGACGACCTGTACCCAGATTTGAATTTCAATGCCTTCAGAGTGATTATCCAGCACAAGAGGAAGCTGAAGAGAAACACAAATGCATTATTTTAATATGAGTACTTTTCTGTTTCTCAAAAGTACTCATTTCTCCTAAATACAATTTCTTCCTGACACAGAGGAAGTTACTAATATCCTGCCTCCTTGGCGTCACTTTGTTTGTTTTCAAGATCAAACAGGAAAGGATGATACCGGCCCTTGATGACAGACGATTTGCAGTCTAAAGTATTGGGATACATAGTGTTATTAAAATGAAGTTCTGTCTTGTAAATTAATTGAAACTGATGCAGTGAGGAGACATATTTATCAAAGTGCCGATCTTGTTTCTTCTATGTCAAATATCATAAAAATTTGTCATGATTGATGTCAAAATACTTTTTTATAATAAACGGATTTATACACACACTATTTTATTAGAATAGGTGAAATTAGGTGATGAAATATGTGGTGACATAAACATGTTTTAGTGGACCAGAGAAAAACACCGGGATCCTTCATTATTCATATGTTATATCTGCTGAGCATTGCTTTCTCTTGAGGATCTGCTGGTTTGTCCAGAGATCTTCCCGCCAACTCACAACACAATAGGCTAAAAGTTCCAGGAAGCAGCACGAGGCCAAGGCACAGAGCTGCCAGAGGAGACATCCTCCACTATTACGGGATTAAGGGATGTCTTTAGTTTTCAGTAGTATTCGCGTTATCATTATACTGAAACGTCCCTGCGGTCTGGTGTATATCAGCCAAACTAAACAAGCTCTTAAATTGAGAAGTGCCAAGCATAAGACTAAGCACTAAGTATCTTGAGTATGTGATGGCACGTCATTATGAACGCAAATCATGGATCGGTCTCTACCCTGAAAATCTGGGGTATTGAAAAGACGTCCTCGTCCGCTTGGGGAGGGGACATTGTAAACAAACTGTTTCCACAGAGAAAGCTATTGGATTTATACACTGAACACAGATCACCCATATCGATTAAATGAGGAAATACATTTATTTTGGGATAGAAGATGGCATTGTATGATGTCAAAATGCATTTTAGCCTTTCGCTGCTGTAGCAGAAGACAGAGACAGACAGAAGACTAAACATATTTGACCCAGTCCCATATGATTGTGCCTGGATGAAGCTGAGGCAGAGGTCAGCCATTGTTGCTGTCTGTCTCATTGTGGCCTGTGTTTACTTAAAGTGCCCTGTGATTACTAAAGAGAGGAGTGTCTCTTCACTAACTTAATTACAGACAGAAGCCCCGTCTGACTGCTCAGCTTATACTCACGGCTGTTTCATATCACCCGTACCTGTTTGAAGCATGTTGGCAGAACTTCAGCACAGTCTTAATTAAGCCACTTGATGATGTGATAAGGTCTTCACGGCAATGTATTCTGCTAAGTGATGTTAATTCTTTTTCATTTTTTTAATGTTTGAAGATTGAAATCACAGGTAAACAACTGAGTTTGACCTGCACTCAGTCCCTAAATTATTATTGCTATTAATATTTCGATAGATAGAAGTTTTTTCATTTTAAGTTTCCACATAGTATTTTTTATTTGTAGTAAAAGATTATGGTTGTGTATTTTACTTTTTATATTGTTATAACCACTTTGCATATAATCCTTTCGATACAATAACCTGCAGCATGTTAATGCAGGGTGATATCAATATTTTAAATATTCTAGCCTTTTTGAAATATTAAAATAGTGTCACTTGAAATGCATATTTCATGCTTATCTACACATTTGGGTTCTTGTATTGCAAAGTTCTTTGACATTCCTGGAGCATAGTAGACTTTATTTACTTAATACGCATGCCAACTTGCATTTCTCTGAGAACTATTTGTCCCACCCTGTGAGTCAGAGTCCTTATACAAATATTACCAGCTGTTTATCAACTGGGACTCCTGAACATAATTGCAGCATGATAGGCCTGTGTGGACTTGTTAGGTTTCGTTTCAAGAGTGATTTGACCTCAAACTGCCAGTGTGAAGTCAGACATAAACTAAACTAATCCCTGAATGTACTAAATATGAGCGACATTTTCTGATACGCAGTTAAAGCTGTGTGACAAAGCAATAAGGGATATCGTTAAATTATGATGACTCTAAAATAGTAGGTGTACATCTTTAAAACCGTCGCTTTAAAATGCGGACGATAAAAATATTATGTTGTCAATCAGGAATCTAAACAGTCTTCCTATTTTACATGATGCATTTTCAATTTCCAACATGGGGATGTGATTTATATTCATGGCTCTGCTCCATCACCTAAAAAACAAATACTCCATTAACTTGTCATCGAGATTAATTCATAAATTAGACACATCGCTTACATGGCACTGCTTGATAACTATTTTGCAAATGTCATATTCTGCCCAATACTATATTGCCTTATGACAGCTTAACCTCAAGTCATTCAGCCAGCAGTTGGCTCAGTCTTCGGTGAATAGCCATTGAAAATCTTTGCAAATAAGCTAAAAAACATGGCAACAGCCCAGATGGGACGCGTCCAACCACAGCTCTATACTGGCCCTATTGATTCATAAACTAAATGGATAACCAAGACCATGGTGGATGGCTGTGACTGGTGTGAGCAGTGTGTAAATGTGGAAAAAGGGCTCCCAATTAAATTTTGGCAGAATTGAGTTTTTGATTGTACAGCTATATTTCAGAGTTAGTAAAAATGGTAAACCAATAAATAACGGTATTTAGCTTTTAGCAATAAGCCTTGGCACATAATATATTTTGGTATCACAGCCAACACTGACCAGTCTGAAGAGCTTGAAAAAGTCAACATTAGCATAGAATTTGTCCTCAATGATCTGTAGCCGTTGAGGGGTAAGGATGCACATGGCATTGCGAACAGCGTAGAGCCCTCGGCGGCTGGGGAAGAGGAGGAATCGCTCCAGCAGGGTCAGGCTGCAGGCAATGTCCTTTAAATGCAAGGCTGGAACCCCAAAGACAAACTGCAAAAAAGTTGTAAGTGGACAGGAGACATGCGTCAGTTTACTTTGCAAGGACTGAAGCATGTAATTCTGAAACAAAGAGGACATGGGTGTTCAACATAGCATATTAAATTCATACAGAACAGCTTGAGACAGCATTACTGACACCATTGAATCAGAGAGTACATGATCCCAGAGGCACTACAAAGGGAGCAAGTCTTTACTTGTAGAAGACTTTCTAGTCATAAGAATTGTCTATAGTGTGGTGTGTAAGATAAAACGTTGGGTTAAGGCTGGCAGATGGTGACAACACTACACAAATGTTTCAAAATAATGTTGACACATGTATCCTGAGTTACCGAACCCTGTCGTGCGTGTGCGTGCCTGTGTACCTGTTCAGGCCTGATTTGGGCATTGACTAGCTGATACACTACAGACTCTGTCAGAGGAATGTCTCGAAGCAGGAATGATGTCAGAGTCTCATCGTCCTTCAGGATAGTCTCCACCTTTACTCCTCGGCCTACAAAGAGAGACAGAGGGAGTTCATGTGAATGAAAATGCTCCAATTCGAATGACAGGAGACCAGTCACTACTATAAGAATTTACCTAAACTCTTGTTGTCTGTGCTCGACAAAAGCAAACTCTATTATCAGGCAGTGGATACTGGATAACTTGAAAAAAATCTGGATAGTTAGTGCCACAAATTTTGGGCAAGTTTTGACAAATCTGTTGTATTACAAGGTTACAACATAGGATGAGGACACTCTACCTCTGCACCGCCTCATTATTCAGTAGCCTGTCTGTGCATGAATAAACTTTGCTCTGTGATGCAAAGTGCCGGTGTGGCCTGCATCCAGGTTCAGCCCTATATAGACTTGTAGTTTCTTTCTACAAGACTCTAGTTTCTGTTGAAGTTTTCATTCACCCACTTGAAACCACAAAGAAACCAAAAAGCCAGAAAGGGAGAGGAAATAGGGGTGAATATTTATTTCAAATGCCCTAAAGAATTTTGAAACTGTACCTGGATACATTTTTTAAAGTCCTGTTCCTATCCAAGAGGTGGTGGGACAAAATTACCTGACAGACCAGTGACAACCAACATGACAAAGGACAAAATTATACCTTCTCTGTTGATGGTAACTACTTGTTTTTGTGGTGAGCTTGCGCACCCCAAGTGAAAATGTATCACGCACTGAATCACAAAAACAAAAGTCCCTTTACTGTCATTTGTACACTTTGATTCTTATGTGGATTAAACAAACAAGATAAAACATGTTAATTAGTGAACTTCCCCCTGCTTCCAGTCTTTGTGCTAAGCTAAGCTTCATATTTACGGGACAGAGTGGTTATTGTTACTGTCATCCAACTCTCTGCCAGAAAGCAAATAAGTGTACTTCCAAAAAAATCTATTTCTTTAACAATATCCAAAGTGCCATCACTGGCCATCAGACAGCATGCCTTTCTTTGGGGATAGATAATTATGGGGAATACAACAATAGACGCATGGACAAAGGTGCATGTACAAATAAATTGAACATGTACACCCACACACACACCTGCTCACAATCAGGGGCCTTGCACATACACATAAAACACACATGTTCTTATAAGTCTTTTTTCAACAGTTACATAACTTGGTTCTCAACCAAATTAAATTTTCCTTCCTGGGCCTCATGGGAACTTGTGTGGAATGTGGATCCATATCTCTGTTAGTCCATCTACATATTTCTCTGTGAGAGTGGCAGCATAGGGAGCAACCAGACGCAATCATTCAGAGGTTGGAATGCACTCAGCCTCATTCCAATCCCATCATAAAGGTTTATTTTGCTGGGAAACATACTGTATGTAGACAGTGTAGATGTATATATGATATGTTGAACAGAATTGTTTGCATGGTGCATCTATGTTTTTTCATGGTGAGAGGAGCGTGGATAGAGGGCGCGTGAATGGCTTTCCCACCAAATAAACAACACACTGGTGGTGAAAGTAAACAGCTTACATTATTGACCTTTCTTTAACCCATCTTATGTGATCCTGCTACAGGCTTCACAGCTATGACTGATGGGAAAATGTGTAAAATATGATATAGACTGTGATGCTGCTTTTGACCAGATGATGCTTCCATGACTTGACATTTATTGTCCATTCTCCTCACCATTAGCCCACTAAAAAACCCTATACGTTTTATGATATCAAAGCCAAACTCTTCATATGTTCTTCCAGGAGCAGGAGACTAAGAATGGCTTGCAATGCTGAGTCATGCTGTAAATTAAGATTCATATGAACTTCCAACTGAAAAAAACCCTTGCTGGGTAATCCAGAAGTCACATCTGCTCCAGTGAACCAACTAACCAGAATGACCTTGGGTTTACCTCTACAGACAATGATCTTTTTGCAATTTGTTGATGAAAGGCTGGAACACTGACCTGAGATCTGTTCAGGATGGGTGCGCAGGGTGTCCATGAAGTTACTCATAGCATTCAGTTCTTTCCAGAGGCGCCCGAGCTGCCGAAACTCTGGGTCACTAAAAAGAAGCTCCTGGGCATCCGCGTAGAAACGAGCCAATCTGAGGTCAATAACAAATCACCCACATTATTCTTGTTGGACAGCAGATTAACAGCATATACCATCATATATGATTGTATGCACACACAGATGCTTTGAAACAACTAGATCATAATCCAGAGACATTTAAACATATTCTCATTGACTTCATTACATAATTCTGCCCTTTCATCTCAGATCAAATGTTGTATAGGAATTCAACACCTCCGGTTTAAAACAACCTCCCTCGACCAGCCCAGGGTGACGCTTACATGGAGTTGTTGTAGTTGGACACCAGGCCGGGAGATTCACCCCGAGTGGGGTATTGAAAACAAGGGTTGTTGGCATTACAGAAGATTCCCTGGATCCATGGCAGGACACCTGTGGAGGGCATGGCCTTGTTGGGGAAGTGGCCTGGGGTAGAGGAGATAGTGTTGGCTTTTAGTCGTTTACACAAGTAATTTATGAATATTTGTGAATAAGACTTCAAATATTTTTGTTATTTTCTGGTAAAAAGACGTTTACATACATTCATGTTGACGGTAGAGTGGATTCACTCGTCTTAGCCACACTAGCCCCATGAAGAGCATAACAGGCCACATAATCTCCATGAAGAAACGCATCTGGTCGGAGAGTACACCATAAACTTTGTAAAACTGCATATTTTTCTAAATGTTATTTGAAGGTAGTCAAACAGATGTTTAAGTGTTTGTTGGATGAAAAATAGCAAACAAATTGACCTGGACAATGGATATATCTAGGCCTATAGTTTAATGATTAGTAAACTGGTCTAATAGGCCAATAATGCTCCAGCACTAAGAAATAGCTGAAAAAATAAAACACGCTCAGATGAGTAGCTACAATAGAAAGTATGCTACATGATATGATGAAAAGCAACAAAATAAATTGATAAAGTTATTTAATATATCACCACAGTAATGTGTAGGTCTATAAGATATTTTCACGTCACATACATTTTGGAAGCCAAATATTGCTAATGTCAGTTTTCGTTTTAAGCATAAGAGACACATTACAAAGGATTTGTGGCCTTTAAAACATATCTAAGAAGTAATTCCTATAGTTCAAGCATTTCAGCTGCAACCCCCAGAGGGATAAATGGAGTGTATAATTGATGGAGTGGATTTTACCCTCTGCCTCCTGCGGATGGTCCAGTTCTTCCACAGCAGGAGTTTGACCTCTCTTCCTGCCCCCATGGTACGTCTTTTTCTACCCCCTCAGGGGCTGCCACCGGCCAACAAACCTGTATTCAACCAGTCCACATTACTCTTACGAGCTTAATGAAGCTACCTCAAGTTCTAGAAAAACATTTATGACTTAAAAAATGATTTGTATTTGGAAAGCTAGATTTTGTGGATGAAGTCCTGTGTCCGTCCATTCGTCCTGTGAGTGCGCCATACTAGCAAAAGCTCTGTAATGAGGTCAATGAGCTCAAGACACTTCACATGGTCAGCATAACAAGAATAGACCTTTCTATTGCTCTAAACGTCCTCTCAGCACTATTCATGGTTAAAGTCACTACACTGAATATCGCACATTCCCGGTACATGTAACAAAATTAACTTTAATCTCGGTCAGGAACAACTATTGTTCAATGTTATGGCTACCACATTACGAATTAAATATACATTGAATAAATCCCAAAGCATGGCTATAGCCCAGAATGACATAGCACTTACCTCAGAGGAACACTTGCACCGTAGAGCGATACCCAATACATAAAGCGTAACACCGCATATTCTACCGAGTGCTCCTTAGGGTTGCTACACACCTAGAATCTAGACCTTGTGAATAGTTAAGCAGATTGATTTTAATCTTCTCTCTCAGTGCTGGGAGACTACAAGCAGATGAGAGTATTAGCAGAGGCCTACATGACCTAACCACCTGGCCTACGTTATACTGCATAATCCCACTTGTTAATAATAATCCCACAACTGGTAAACAATTAATATGCAACTTTTAATTGTAAATTAACAAATATTAGCATCTCTCTAGATCCACAGGCTGCCATGCGGCTTGGTAAATCAATCAGTTTACTGTATAACATACAATACGATTGCCTAACTTCTAGTAATCATGGAATTAATTCTTCTTGGTTAAAAAAAAATTGCTGCAAATTTTACATTTCTGAAGGAAAAAGACAGACTATCATGGAATTTTTCAGATATATTTTAATAAGTTACAAAAGGGTGTTTCATGTACCTGCTGCTTTTTTTTTTTACACTGAACCTTTCAACATTCTGTCAACCTTGTACATTACCATGAAAAACAGATACCATTTAAATAAATGATGCACTTCCTGTTACAGAGAAGCTGTAAGGTTTAGGTTACTGATAAAACTAATTCAGTTGTAAAAAGAAAAAAACAGCTTTGGCTATTAAGAAATGTAAAAGTGATATCAAAATAAGAACGATAATACCATTATACAATCCAGTGGCATTTCTAAAAGCTTTTCAGATCAGTGTATGTTGACACCATACAAGTTCAACAGTATAAAAACAAGTGGATGTATACCCTTTGCAACTGGTGCTTCATAACATTACCAAATGTCAATGCAGATACCCAGTACAGCATTTAACAAAGGTCATTATATTGCTTTATACACAAGCTATTTGCAACATTATTAATTACAACTGAAATGTAACAGTTCAAAAAACATTCTGACTCCAAGTAGGTAGAAACATTACTCAGAGAGAGATTTGTGGAAGAGTGTTGATAAGTGCACCAAACCTTTTTTCAGTGTTGTGGCTACATGCACTATTGTAACAATTCAAACATAGATTTTTTTTTTTTGGTATATAAACATACATAGTGAGCCTGTAAGGACTTGGTACAAAATATTCAAATAAAAATGTAATTGCACAGTTTAAATTTTTTTTTAAATAAATATTCTGACCAGGTGTCAGTGTATACTGGGCAAGGGATTGGTAAATGAAATATCGGTGAATCATAAAGAATATACAGCATTTTAAGTGCATCTTGTCTGTTGAGGACCGAAGGTACATTTAATTGTCCTAACGGTGTCCACCATCAAAGCGCATCTGGAAATTGCAAAGTCAATTACAGATGTTTGTTACTCTTTGTATATCAGAATATGGCACACATTGTTCATGTTGGAGCAGTGTTTTTTTTTTTATCTCTGATGACTCACACAAAATGAGCCTCTCGACGTTCTACCTCTTGGAGGCGCCTGGGCCTTAGTCTCTGGTACACTGGTTTGGCCTGATCCGGGCTCAGTTCCTCAGGGCTAGAGCTGGGAGACTGTGACATGGCTCCCTGCTCGGCCTCATCGTCTTCCTCAAGAGGCTCATCTACAGACACCTCTATCTCAATCCCCAACTCCTCCTCCTCCTCATCATCATCATCTTCCTCCTCCTCCTCCTCATCTTCTTCCTCTGCGCTGTTAGCTAATGCACAGTTCTGCAGCTCTTTAACTTTGCTCCCCGACGGGGGCTTGTAGAAGGTCCCTGGGGGGGGCTGTAGAGTTCTGTGAGCCCTGAAAGCTGTCGCGACAGGATTGTACTTGATTACATTGTCCTCCCTTCTTAAAGTCCTGCTAGGTCGCATTGCAACAGTGTAAGGCCTGTTAGGGAAGATGGTGCTAATGCTCCCAGTAGTTCCAAGGGAGAAAGATGATGAAGATACGGGTACAGAAGGCGATACGTTGCTGGCATCCACTGCTGTACTCTCTGTGGGAGAACTGGCGACAATTCTGACAGTCCTGGAAGCAACATCATGCTTGTACTGTTTGTCCCAAGTTCTGCGTAACGTCTGGGTGTCAATAAACGTACCCCGGTAATGTGTACCCGCTCGCAATTTTGTATTCTCAGTTTCGTCCACCTCTTCAATGGATTGGTCGAAACTACCTCCCTTCCTGTCATCTTGGTCGGTGCTGTTCCGCGTGTTATTCTCGTCTACTTGGCCTCGGTTGAGTATCCGTTCAGCCGGCAGGCTCACTGGCCGGGAGGAGAGTTTGTTGCGAGGGTGTCGAAGCTGGACCCTGGCGACGACGCTATGCTGACAACGACAGAGGCCAGGTTTCGGGACCTCTGGGACACCTGATGACAAAACCCCATTGAAGGCCTCAAAATCCACTTCATCAACTTTGAATAGAGAGATCAACAATAGGTTAAACATTAACATATCAAGTAAAATGCTGTGGACATATAGACAATATCCAGCAGCCAGTGTCAAAAAATAGAATTATTGGGTTACCCATCTTTGTAACAACACTGACCAGGTTCAAAGTCGCTTCCATTGAGGCGGGGCATGGTCTTCTGAACCTCAGACAATAAGTGGGAGGAAGGAATTATCGAGGATTGCCTCTTATACACCTTAGAGCTCTGCTGTAATGGTAAGACAGACAAGAATAAGGACAGAAAACAAAGCGTTAATCTATCATTTAATGTTTAAAGACAAATTGACAAATGTGCTGTATATGATATTGATGTTGAAACATGCTACACGCACAAAAACAAATTACCTCCTTAATGTCTCCCAGCGACTTTGAGTGCCTGCTCAGCTGCTGCTCCTTCTCCTGGTGGGCGGGGCGGGGTTGAGCGTCAGCCTCTGTAGGCGAGGTGCGACTCAGTGGACTGAGGGGGGTGTCAAAGATCATCTGGTAGTGTCTGATCAGAAGTTCAACAACGAGCGCCTGATACGGGTAATCCACCAGTGAGGAGAGGGAGACTTCGGCGTCCGCCTGCCTTGGTTTGATCAGGGTTGGGCCAAAGATGATACCCAGGTTGCTGGCTGTCATCTTATTCTCCTCCGATTGCTCCGTCACCCTGGAGAGAGGACGGGATATTGCTTTCACATTATATTTTTTAAATCCTGACCTGTCCAAAGTCATCTTTTCTCTATTGAATGGCTTATTACATATTGAGATCTTTAAGCATAAAATTCACATCCTTACTTGTAAAATGACCGATTAAATAAATGCATTTATCAAAAATGTGATTTATGGGTTATTTGACTGAGGCTGCTGTACCGATGCAGATGCTCAATCAGGAACTGCAGTGTCTTGTAATGAACTGGTGGCAGCTGCCTCAGTAGGTCCTTGATCTTGAAGAGGACCCGGTTGAGGTCCACGCTGACCTGGGCCGGGGTCACTGGGGTGGGACTGAGTCTCAAAGCTTCCAGTTCCTCCACAATGATACTCTGACTTTCCTTGGCCAGGCCGATGAAGTCGTTATAATATCGGAACAGGATGAGCGGCTCTGGAAGCTGCAGAGGAAAGTATGAGAGGAAGAAAAACAACAGATAAATAAATGAAACAAGGAAGTTAATAATAAACAGAGACAATTGAATCATTTGAGTAAATAGACAAGTGGGACAGAATTAGAAAAGAGATAAGCAATTGGGGGATGAGAGGGGGAGTTATGTACCAAAAATAAATACAGACAAATATAAACACCACTGCAGTGGTTTTGTTCTAAAGCACACATTTAACCAACTCGTATCCTCATTTGGATGACCCTCTTTGTGGGTGTAAGTAAATTTACAATACCCCAATATTTATTATGCGAAGGATAAGGTTTCAAAAGCAGCCCACCTGTCTCAGATAGAGTTTGAGTACGTTGCTGATGTCGTGGGGATAAAGTTCGGAGAGCTCCACCAGGTCCTTTCCATTCTCAAAGGCCTGGCAAAGCTTCTCTACCCGAGACTTGGCACCATTCACTCGGTAGATACCCTTCACAGCACAAAAACAAAAGTCATTCAACGCAGGAAAATTAGATGACATTTTTAAGGATCACCACGGCACAACTGGGTTATCACTGCGGCTTATTATTAATACGATACACTGTACATTATTCAGTTTATGGATTTACAGCAAATGGGAGCAAACTTCAGGTTTAAGAATGCAATGTGGGTCAAAGAATTATACAAAATAATTTGAATTGAGGACGAATTTTCAGTTTTAACAAGGAAGCTCATTAGCATTCATTTGGTGCAAACAGCAATCTGGTGCCAGGATTTGCAAATGTAACTAGTACGTCATTATTCCTTAGAAAACAACATTCATCTTGAAACATTATAATAATCATTGACATTAACACTGGCAGCCTCTATCGGCCCAACCACTGCATTATTTACATTTGTCACAGTATCCTTTTCAGGGAAGCCAAAGAGAAACCATTAGAAGAAGCAACATCCTAACAACAGGATATTAACAGTGAACAACATCATCACACATTATTATCGCTCATATTTTACTGAAACTACCTTTAGGTTGAGAGCTCGGTTCTCAATTTCTGATGTACACTTCCTTATGATGAAGGGGATGCAGTCCCGACTGTTCTTAGCTGCCTGAGTGAAGTCAATGCCGAAGAGATGGAGCTTCCCCTGGAGCTTCTTATGGCCGCACTGGATGGCCAGGGTTTCCAGACACTTCTTATGGCAGGCTAAGGAACACTGCAAACATGTTGAAAAGTATCTTGGTTATAAAAGTGAAAGACTTTTTCACACTGCTGACTGGCAGAGATGAAAATAGACGGTGGAACTGAAGTTTGATCATTATAGTAGCAAAAGCAATAGGATAAAACCAGGATAAAGTTTTAAGTTAATAGTTACACAACCATATCTACTCTTTATAGCTTGGGTACAAAGATGTGCACTCAAAACTAGTTTCATTGTGAACTACGCCTTAAAATGAAGACAAGGAAAGCTTCATGTCTGGTAACCCATTGAACCAATGCCATGGAAGAATTCCAAAAAACTGCAGAGCCATATTCTTACGTCTTGTCAATGTGTCTACCACCATTACATAACCCATTTTTTTTTTTTTTTTTAAAAAGACGTTTCCAGTAACCGTTCTGTTATGGTCTTTTGTATCATCAGTGTATCTAGTAAATATGGAAAGAAACTGGATCTAAAATAAACAGGGGGCACAGGGGAGATGGAGGCGACCCCTTTCAAAAAGGAACAAAAAGTCTTCAGTTTCCACTGCCCCGACCCCGACTGAGACCAGTTGGTGGATTTGGTCTCTGAGGAGAGCCTGTAGCCACTTTCAAATGTTTCCCTTTATTCAAAAGTTTTGATGAGTGACGACGTGGTCTTGCTCTTTTGTTTTTGTTTGATTTTTGCTCACCATGAGTGATAAAGACGCCATTGTGAAACTTTGGCAATGTTCATGTTGAACTTGAAATACTCTGAATGACTCACTACATTTAGTGACGGTCCAAATAGGGGCTCATGGTTGGTGTTTTGTTCCATTAGTTCTAAAACAAAAACCAAAAGAAGAAAAAACCAAGGTTACCTCCTCACACTCTGCTCCATGAAACACCACCAGGCCATCGCACTCTCGACACTTGGATGGCGCTCGAAGCTTCCTCAGCTTGTGGGTTTGAGCCGCCTTGGACATCTGGGTGTTTCTAAAGGGACCTGGGGAGCTGGCTGTTTCGATTGCCATTTCACTCAAACCTGCAGAGTGGAGGGAGAGAAAGAACAAATCATTAGAAGCCAAGTTCCTTTCTTCTCATATTTAGTGTAGGAACACATTTAAATCCCACTGAGAAAGTTTCCAGTTTTCCGTTTGACTCACCGTTATCAGAGGGTGAAGGAGGCTCTCTATCATCCAGGTCATCAGCAGACGACATGGTGCCGGTGGAGGGGGTTCTGGGTAATCTCCTCTTGAAGTCTCCTGAGCAGTAAGGCAGGACACACAGGTAAGTCACCATCTCCACTGTTATATAAAGACAATTCTACTTGTTTCTGTCTCATGTGGTCTACGGCACAATGGTGGGACTGGGAGTGAGAACTCCTGAGAGCTGGACTGGGACAACTTTCCTGAATTTAAAGTGCCAAGAGAAAAGGCGTGGTCAACTTCATGTTGTTGATAATCAATTTACCAGTAAGGGATGGTTGGCGATTCACACCTCCATGGATTGGTCAGTCATTTCCAATAGGCTCCATTTTAATAATGTGGTTGATTTTCTAATGAGCCCAATAAGAAGGCCCATCAGGGATTCTTGATGTATTGCTAATGTATTCATTTAATATTTAATCAGTGGAATTTGTGTATCTTTAAGTGTCAGCTGTAAAAGCCCACCTGATAAGGGAACACAATCTATGTGAACAGACACTAATTTGGTTGAAAACCTCCTCTGCAAACACTTGGAGGAGACCTAACTCGTCCTGATTTTTAGGAAGCAGATTTGTACAAGGTCATTAAACTGTCTGTGACACATACGAACTGTTGCACAGCAACAGAGGAAACACTGAAAAAAAACTCAACCTGCACCAAAACTACCATTTCATGTGTTTGCGTGCGTTGTAGACTAGCAGAGTTGCTTACTGTTCAACAAAGAGGCACCATTGTCAGTAGTTGCTAAGCCACTTGACTCCGAGATAACATACTAACAAAGTTGGGTGAACATCAAGTTCATAGAAAAAGAAATGTTTGCAAGCCCCAGGGGCAATTGCAGACAGTCAGCGCTGAGGAATGCCCATCCTGTCTATCTTCTGCAATGTGTGGTGTCTTTGGCAATGACACAAGGCCGACACTACCTTAAGATTTAGAAATAGGTGTTGTGCAACAACCGGGGTAAACCAAGTGATTTGGCTTTCTTGACTAGGCGGTAAATGTGTTTTTCTGTCACCTCAAATGTAACAGCATGTAAAGATGTATGCAGAAGATGAATGTAGTTATATAATTATTCTCTTCATAAGCCATCAAGAAAAACAAACCCCTATTACAACATAGTGCATAATCAACCAATAACCAATTAATGAACAAAAATAAATTACAAAAATACTAGTTTTAGTCATTTAAAAAAAGCTAAATTTAACTTATAGGTAGACAAAAATGACAGTTTGAGGTAAACTTTGGGTAACTCTTAAATTAAAGCTGCCGTCCTGAATAACCCTACCTGGGCTTGCAGTGGGTGAGTCCATAGACCGGGATTCACTGCTCCCTCCAGCACTTTCCGAGTCGCTGCACATACCTCCACCCTGGCTGGCCGAGGCCCAGGGACGAAACGAGGCCTGAATCCGGAGTCCTGGATGAAGACAAATTAAAACGCTGTAAACACAATATTACAGCCCACTCGTGTTGTAAAAATTTAACTTTTGCATTTCTTCCTTCATTGCAGACAAAACATAAATGTTACTGAAATCTTGGTTTCTAGTACAAATAAATGACTTATGACCCTTGAAGTATAAGTCATAACTGGACTTGTTTTAGTGGGTATGCAATGTGCATCTCTCTGTTTTTATTGATTATGTTTTCTGGTTACAGGCCTACATAGAGTTCCTCAATTTCTTTCATTTGATCGGAGTGTTGAATCTCTAAAACAACACCTAAATGACCAATAAGCCTCCAGAGTGTGATGGCCAATTGTCAGTAGTTTAGAACTGCTATCTTTTCACTTAAAATTGGCCTAAAAGTCAAGAGCCCATTAACCACTGATGCAACTATTAGCGTAAAAGGCACTGCCTAAAAAGATCTGGGGAGAATGATACTTGCATGGACAAGAAAAACAAAACATAGGGAGATATCAACACAAGCAAACTGGCCACAGTATAGTGCTTTGGTTACCTTCACACTTCACTTCCTATTTCAAAATGTTTGCAAGTTACTCATAAAGCATTACTCATAAAGTCTTGTACATGGCTGCACAACATGTTGGCCAATGTAGAAGATATTATCTCTGTCTGTTCTTCAATGGTCTCTCTAAACTAAAACAACAGGTACTTGCTTAAAAGATTACAAGACACTATACAAGAACAGGAGCTATTAGGCTAAATGTAAACCTGCGTACCTTGGATGTCAATGCTACTGTTGGAGTGCCTTTCGGCAATCTTGGCATGCTGGGCAGTGATAGGACTCTCCATGTCATCTGCACCGAGGAGGTCAGAGGTCACAGATGCCTGTGACAGGTTACTGTGGGACGAGTGGCTGCCACTTAGCAAGCGCTTGTTGAAAGGCATCCTTGGGAGGAAAATGATGGAATGAAAATAATTTTTTAACTATATTCTTTGAGACATTCGACATGGAATAATACTAACTATAATCATTTATATAAAACAGGTTAAGTCAATTTGGACAATATAGAATAAAATGCATTTGTCACAGAGGGCTTTACACAACGTATACATCAACTTAACAGAACAAAGTAAACAAAAGTACAATTCTATTTAATAAAATTTCTTACTGTTTTATGTCAAAGTATATGACATTTCACAGCATTCACATTTAAGACCAGCAATAATACAGTCTAGAATTCTTGTCTTGCAATTACATCCCTCTCTAGACTAATTTAAATTAAAACTGCATCTGTAATTCCTATACTGCGGGATCAAATCACCGAGTATATTTCCTAATTCCGTCAGTACTGAACAGAGCACTGAATAACGATGATATCCTGAGATCAGCCCCACCTTACTGCCAAAGACAGCCGTTAATGTGTGTTTAACGATGATTAGCTGATAGGCATGTGAATGGCCGATGTGCAATCCAGGCCAGTCATTGTTACCAAAGTATCCTAATGTTTCTCACAATATAGAGTATGTAGGTCAGCGGTCTATAATTAACCTTTTGAAAAACAATGCTGTGGATGCATGTGAGCATGTGTGTGTGTGTGTGTCTGAGTTCCATTTCCTCTCAACCAAGCTGAATTCTTTTGATCAGAGGGATCAGAGTTGAGGGGTGGGGGGAGAAAACTAAGTAAGAACAAAGCACTCTCTCATTTCCATCAGTCTGTGTGTGTGTGTGTGTGTGTGTGTGAGACAGACAGACCGCTAGAGAGAGAGACTACAAATCAGTGTCAACTCACTCAAAAAGAAACAAACTGCTTTTTTTAACCACGTACCACAAGAACTGGGTACTGAAAAATACCCAAATGTAAAATGACCCCCATGTTTTCCATGGTGGTTAGAAACAACGTTGTGTATTTAACTTGAAAGCTACTGAAAACGAGAGGTGGTCACAGAGTTGAAGCAAAACTGATGGTAAATCCACTGCTCCTCTCTCCCGTGACCGCAGTCATTTCCGCAGGAAGCCCTAGCCAACACAATTGTTTTACGCTTTCCAAAACAAGCTCTCTCACTCAATCACTCCACCTCTCACCTACAGGGCTACAGTGTCACAGGCTGTTACAGTTATTTGACTGAATCTACAACCACTTGTTTACCATGTTTCCACAGAATCCTAAGATGCAAGCTTTAAGCTGTTGATATAAAAAAATGACTGAAAATCTTTTTAAATTGATAGAACATTTCAAATTAATTAAATTACATTGAAATAAACTGTTACGCCCTCTGTGAGCCACCAATGTATCTGTCTTACACAAATAACTAATTCCTTTATAATCAGAGAAAGTAAATATAAACACCAGGGCTTACTTATAAGCATCTGATATTCCAGTTATGTTCATTATTGTATACCTACCTACTTTATAATATGATGGACTGTTATTAGGTTTACACATATACGTTCTCAAAGTGAAAGATTAATTTTACTGCACGGTTTAACTTTCAGGAATGGAAAAAAACAATCTTTGAGTTTAGTATCTGCTTAAATGGCCTGTAAACCCCACAATGATAACACGAGCCACTGAACCCGTGTGTTGCAGCAGCGTCTTGATGTCTCACCCTGTGCTTTGTGTGACGGCAGAATCAAACGAGTGGGACTCCAGGCGAGGCCCATCAGTGGGTAGACCCCTGACAAAGTCGATGTAGCGCTGGCCCGGCTCGTACAGTTTGGCATTTTCACACAGACTCTGGTGGTTGACAGGAAGGGACACAACCTGCGCCTGCTGGAGCTGGAACCAATTGACCGTCATCTGAAACAAGGACCATGCAACATTAACCTGTGCCTAAGGTATTGAGTGCCACCTCCTTAGTCTGTCCGAGATTAAGTATGTCATTTCTGTTATTCAAGTTGTTCTAAAATTTTAAAAACAACATTTGTGACAAACATTTTCAGTTAACAAATCGGAACTTACGGCCTTGAGGGTGAGGTCGCACTGGGAGACCATCTCTCGGATCTGAGTGATGATCTCACTCTTGGTGTTGGCCAGATCGACTCTCTTGTCCCCAACATCAATCTGACATGCTTTGCAGTGCTCCCTGGCCTCATCAGCCTTCAACAGAAAGGAGACAAATCAGTAAATTCTCAACTCTATGACTGATCACATTAATATGATTTGACTTGAGCCAGTTTAGTTCCAACTGCTGTAAGTCACATGGTCTAAAGTTGATGAAACAAATAAATGACAAAAGATCTTGAGAATGAACTTCTATCTTTAGTGTCACAGGAGAACAATTCCTTTAAGTCCGATAGTTTGCTGACCAGACAGATCCATTTGTCTACACTCCAATGTCTGTTTTGTTCTTTGTCGTCAAAAAACGGAAAACTGAGAGCTGATAATGAGGTCATAACGAATGCAACAGCTTGTATAAACTCTGACCTGGCTAGCAACAGTTTAATTGACATTATGTAATTGAATAGTGCAACTGGGATAGTCTCTATGGTCTGGGGAGCCTGATTTGTGGCAATGGCATTAAATGTTGGAGCTTGGCCCAGAATCCTTGTTATGACTTTCCACCTTTTTCTGTCTCTCTGTACTTTCAATGTCAAATACATTTCAACAAAGAACAGCAAAACATGAATGTGTGAGTAGTACTTGGGTTCCTATTTTGTGTGTTTAGTTTCTGTCAAGTTGTTGTTAGCAGCTCTACCGGCCACATCACTATGCTTCTGAGTAAAATGGACTTTTGAAATGCCAAACAATGCAACTTAGGTCTAATCATATCATTAAAACAAACTTCAACAAACAAAAATGTCATTCATCAGACACAACATTTTTAAAGAAGCCTATAAGATTAACTCAGGGGCCATTAGAAATCTACAATGTACGACATTAACAGGGCCACAGGGCAAGCAGGGAGAGGTGCTGTACCTTCTGCTGGGCCTCCTCCTCCAGCCTGCGCCTCTTCTCTAGCTGTTTGACCACCGCTGCTCCTCCTCCTCCTCCTCCTCCTCCTCCTCCTCCGATCTGTTCCTCCTCAAGGCGGCTGGTGGACACCTTGGCCTTCTCATACTCCTCCTGCCGCTGGACCTGCAGCAGCCGCGCCTTCTTCAGAGCACCGTCTGCCTCGTTCTGGTGACACACACATATTAAGTTAAAACACAGATGGACAAACGGAACTATATCGCTGCCTCTGGATCCGTCCAATAAAACAAAATCCACTACTAGTCCAACAATGCTAACAAAAATACAATTAATAATAATCTGTAATAATTACTTAACCATTGAAACAGTTCAATGTTATCCAGAACCATTGAAATGTATACAGTATTACATACAGTACGCAATAATAGTTCAATGATTGGTTTTATTTTGTAATGACAAGTGTGGGCGCTTAACTAATTAAATGTTTAATTTAATTGAATTAGTTAAACACTAATCATTTACAATTGTCGAGTGTTATTAGCTTAGTTAATGATGCTTATTCTGTCATATGTGGAATGGAATGATTGTCTGGCAGGCTGCAGGACTATAGGGCAAACCAAAAGCTTTTGCTTGCATTGCATATGTTAGGTTCAGGCATTTCAAGAGCTACCTTGGACCGAGCCCCTGGGTCAGGGAAAGATTCTGTGTGTGGCCCTCTAGAGAATAAAGCCTTCATGGCAATCGACTTACCATTTTCTTTTGCCCTCTCTGCCACTGCTCCTTGACCTCTTTTCGTAGTTTGTCCAGCTCATTCTTTCTGGCCAGGAGAGGCTGGAAAGAAAGACACCACACACAGTCAGTCTGTCCTCTTGTTTCCATTATACAACCCCAACAAGTGCCCGTTCAGAAATGCAGCTGGATTTTGCTTTGCTGGATTACCTGCATGTATTTGTTGCTTTGGAGTACTGCTGCAGTGTGAAGTACCAGCTGGCTGTATTCAATGTCATTTTTGAAGGCAGCCATGTAGATCTCACGAAAAGGCATGAATTCCTTAAATGAGAAGGAGAAAGTCTAAACGTTAATCCCTGACAGCGAGAAGGCGGCAGCAAAACTGTGATGCCGGTGCAAGTCAAATTACCTGCATCATCAAACTTACCTGTTGACTTGCAAGCGTCTTAGCAGATTCGGACATTTTGGCGTAACTCTTTGCACACTCAATATCTGCAAATAGAGCACAGGAGTTTAGTTGAATTTCCCAACATATACAGCACTCTCTACCGGCATACAAACGGTCATTTATGTGTGTGCATATATTTGCAGTGTGCCAAAGTTCCTTTATTGTATCAACTAGTGGAGCTTCCTTAAAAACGACTACCTGAAAATGATTTAAGCATTTGCAGATTAAAGCACACAATGTCCTGGAGTCATGATACAAATCTATATAATTAATCAGTACATAAACCATTAACCAACGTTGATGTCTTTAAACAAACAACAGGTATGTTTGCCCGATAACAAATGTTCTGTACGGCTTGACTGAGTGCTTTGTGACATTGTGTTGACTGGCCAACTGACTAAGTATTAGACTGAGAGCATTCATTAACCGGAGAGCCGAACAAAAGCCCTCACACTTCACACTCAACCTTGAGACTTGATAAGACTTCTAAGTCCAGCTCAGGTGATCGAGAAACATTTCTCAGGAAGTTGGCCCCTAATTAATCCTCACATTTGTGGCTCTGGCTAGTTTAAAGGGATAGTTGGGATTTTTTTGAAGTGGGGTTGTATGAGGTATTTATCCATCGTCAGTGTATTGCCTATAGTGGATTGCGGTTGGCATAACACTAATTTGGAGAAGTATTCAGAAGTAGCAGCAAAGTTATAATTAGAATATTTTCACCCCTTTACCTTGCAGACAGCCCTTTCAGACGGGGAACATAAGTCGCTATTTATGTCTATTCAAAGCCACCAGACAAAGGTGGTACAAAAACAGTAATTTCACCTCACAGAACACGGGAGACGCTGGTATCGCGCTGCCTCGATGGGTTAGTTGTTTTTTGTTATTTTGTGACTTTAGTGAATCACCTACTGTAGGTAGTAATACACCGATTATGGATAAGTGCCTCATGCATCCCCTCTTGAAAAAAATCAATGAGCAATGCTCATGACTAACTGAACAAATGAACCAAAAACAGCTGAAAAGTAATCGTCTCGGAAATTGAACAAACCTTAAGAATAAGAATAAGAACATTTTAATATTTTAGATAAATCCAAAAGTGGGTTTCATTACTGAAAGTAAACGCATCAATTGCCGGTAAAAACAACTCCAAACTTAAAGGACAAAGATGTGCTTTGCTTATTGTTCCGTCACTTGGATGTTTGAGCTTCACGGTGCAGAATGCTGTACTTGCAGTTTGAAACTAGAAGGATGTTGTTAAGTCTAAAAACACATCTGTAATGGATCATTAAAAAAAATTGTTGTTTGAATCTTTTGAATTAGTCCCAACAATGAGAAACCTCTTATTACTTTTACTGTAGTGTTTAAGCTGTTGTGCATGACCTACACATGAAAACATCTCGTAAAGATTCCCTGACGTGACTACCCAGACTTATATAATGACGTACTAAAGTTAAGTACATGGTCCATGATACTAACACATGATAGCCGCTACTTCACTGTTGCCTCCCTTACATGTCAGAAATGCTGTGCCCCAACTCACCCATGCTGAGACGCTTCTCCACCCACGCCAGCAGCTCTTTGGTGTACTTGGACCAGGCCTTGGCGTAGAGCAGCGCCGACTCCACCCCGCTGTCCTGCCTCTGCAGCGTCCTGTCCACCTCCTCTGCCCGAACCGGCTGTGACGGCCCTGTGAAAACCACAGCGACCCCCACCAAGGATGTTGTAAAATCTGGGCTTTAGCATGACGGTCAGTGACCAACGCTCATGCAATTGTCACCACTGCTGCATCCGTGTCAGCGAGTCACCTTGGGTGAGCGTCATATGAGCTAATACCATTTGAGGATAATTAATGCTGACAGGACACTGACTGCTGGATGTATTAATAAGTGATTGAGGTGGCTGGAAATTAAGACTTGAGAGTTAATTGTGCTCTTACCCCAGATAACCCAACAACACTTCAGTGAAAGTGAAACAGCCCAAACAACACAGAATAATGAAGCAGAAACAGTAGATCAACGAATTTCATTTGCCAGGATTACATTCTTCCCCCCCTCCCTCCCCCGCCAAACACTTTGGTAGAGCAGTGCCAGAGTACAGAAGCCGTGTGTTATAGAGATCTGTCTTACCTGGCAGATCATCTTTCTCAGGGCCAGATCCTCCAGATTCCGCAGAGAGACTCTCAAAAGACTGAAAAGAAGACGGATAAAAATCAATCAACAATGAGGAGGATTAATTTCCTACTCAAAGCACGATACGCTCTGCTAACATACTTTAAACAACTCTTATCAGACAATGACCTCTCCTTAAGAGATGTTATGAAACCTACAACAGGAAAACAACAATTCAAAGCATCAATTCATCATTTCCAGCTAGACCATTTTGGAAACATGCGTCAGCCAGCAAGCGTTCACTTAACCCCTAAACTCTGACAGCTCATTTTTCAGATATTTCACTTGACATTTCAGGGGCAGTAGGCCACATCCTGGAGTTCATGGGATATTGAATGAACAAACAATAAACGTATGTTTAAGTATGAAGCCAATATGTATATACTATTATCAGCCTTTGAGTTGGGATGCCACGTAGAGTTCTGGTGGGTGGTTAGTGACAATTTGATACCTCACTTGTGCTGAATTAGTAGACCGTTTGTTTGTGGGTGATGGACAGAACTACACACCATATATTGTACTTTTCTTACCCTGCTTCTCTTAGTTAGGGGGAGCCCCAACACCGATCCATTCTCTACATCTCCCATAAGGAAGTCAGACACTCTGAAGGAAAACAGACACAAATCAATAAACTTTATGAGTTGAGAAAGTATGAAATTGATTAAACGAAAAGATTTCCAGAAATCCGTTTATGTTTTAGTTTAAAGGTGGACTCCATTGATCTTCGATAAAGTAGATGGACTCACATAAGAGAGGTTAAAAATGGTCTAAATATATTTGGCAGAGGCTGAGATATGCTGACTTTTTGTCTCTAGCATACACAAGCCCCCAAAAACATGGGATCCTACAGTTCCCATAATGCCACTCAATAGCATCTTTCTTTAGACCTTCCCTGCATTTTCAAAAGATTTCCGTTTAAAAATGTAAAGCTTTATCCCAATCCGAAATGACACGAGGGTTATTTTAACTTTGAAAAGCGTAATGTGTAAAATCGTTGGAGTGCCACTTTAATTCTGAAATGAAGAAACATGTAAGATATTCATTAGCCTGGTCTTTACACAGAAATAGTGGTTTTTAGTTCATTCATTAACGGCCATATTAAGGCTCAGTTCTATTTTCAATGTTCTCTATATCTCTAAAAAATGTTGTGACTATCGTGTATTAAATATTTGTGCTTTTATGTAACCCGTTTACTGCCTTCCTCTGGCTTGTTTATAATAAGCTATATGAAGACAAATTTACCTAAATTAATAATGCAATTCCATAATTGAGAGGGAACAAATACATTTGGAACATTAAGAATAAAAGTACAACTTGTCTGCAGTTTGATTGCATAAGAAAGCCCACAGAAGTTAAGTAAGTAATGGTAATTGCAATCCCAGTTATGACAGAATACTTACACATTGCCAAAGGTGAACGCCAATGTGTCAATAGCAGCGTAGATCTCTCCGAAAAGCTTCTGTTTGTTCTCCTCGTTCACCTCCTTAAAATTCACCCCTGTCAAATAGTGAATAAGTAGGGTTCAGCAGGTGGAAACCTGAACCATACATTAAGAAGACATCTTGCACTGGCACCTCTGATAAAGCTGTGTTGCAGATATGAATCTCATGTTTCATGACTCAACAACCTGTACATGACGTAGTATGGAGTCAATACAAATATGTTCTTCAAATCATGCTAAGATCTCCATATCTCAAATGTACAGACATTTTAAAATTGAAAATCCCTCAGAGACATTCCAAAAACAACTTGTGCCTTAATTCAGAAAAGATAAGCAAAGATAGGCAAGTGTATATATTCGGCTGTAATCGGGAGAGGCAGTAGTTTCCTGCTGTAAGTCTAAACACAGTGATGACTGAAGACAGAATGGGGGGAAAACAGCAGTGTAAATACGGCTGTAATCAGTCTTCACAATAAACTTCCTGTCCTGACTGAGCACAGAGAAAATAAACTGGGAGAGAGATGCTCAGAAAATGCGTCCAAACACCGAGCAATAAATCAGTGATGTCACTGACCACTCTGCTGTCTCCATGATTTCCTCAGCCTTTCCTTTCCAATAGAACAATGGAGATTTCTAGAGTTCAAAGACCCACAGAGTAGACATTTGAAATAGAAAACCAGCTGTCTTCGGTTAGCTTAGCTTTGACCCGTTTGGAAAGTATCTTGTCTTTGTAACGGAGGCAGAAAAAAGGAATCAGTTGAGAAACCTCAAGCTGGTATGAGTCCACCTCCAACTTATCTTGAATCGTTTCTCAAATATCTAAGGAAGACTGCTCCCAACAGCATCAGCGCTTAAAACCTTCACTCTTTAGCAGAGTCCTTGAAAGTTGAAGAGCACCTCCCTACCAACACCTATCGAACACTAAGATGCTTCCTCAGTAGCCTAAACGCATCGAATCCAAGTCTTTCAGAAAGAGTTTTATACTGTGGTACAAATGACAAAACTACCAATTACCCACCTCAAAACTTTCTTCAGCATTTCTCCTGTTTAACAGAAACAAGAAGCCTTGATCATAACAGTAACCAATACTTCCAGGTGATTTTTCTGTCCAAACACTTTAAACACGCCACCAAACAAGTTATTTTTCTTTACGGGAATCCAAAAGTTGGCTGTTCCTCTATCCATCAAAAGGAGCACTAGATAGAAATAAATCCAATGTATAAATTATTCACTCAGAGGCACAGGAAGTGTTAGGATTATGTCAGAAGGGTGCAAAAAGGATCCAAAAAGGAGGTCCAGTGTCCATGGGGCTCCAGTCCAGCTACGGTAGCCACCACCATTCAAAGCACACAACTCTCTTGTGCGGTTACATCTCCTCCTCTTCTGTCCAACCCCTACCCCCAACAGGACATCCTGAGGCTTGCTGGAATACAATGCTCAGGCCCCAACCAGTGGTCCAAACGTGGAAGTTACATCATCGGGGAAAAATGGTATTGTTTCAGTGGAAAAGCACAACACTCTCGAAAACGCTCGTCAGCTGCAAAGTCCTACGCGGAATTCAGGTCCAGGAGGAAATTCTCCTCCAATGCAGACTAATGTGAATGTGCAGCAACTTGGGCATGGGACTGGATATGAAGTGTCACAGGATGGAGGAAGTGATAAAACTTCCTCTTGTGTTGAGGTGCACCTTGGAATGTGATGAAGTAGAAATGCAATACATACTCCACTGGAAAAAAAACTAAATCACAGGATTCTATTATATGTAAAATCACCTGGTTGTGATGTGATTTTAATGTTAGAGAAAAGATTAAATGTGTACCAAGCACAGCCTGCTGATCACATGACACACCTCCATGAATAGAGACATATCATTTTACATCAACACGTCTAACACCCGCAGCGTTGAGATTTGGCTGTGAAAAATATTGGCGCGTACATCTCATATCACCTTGTCCCTGTGTGAGGGTCAAGGAATGAGCGGTTCAGGCCACCTAGTGGCAGAAAAGACGTCATAGCACGCTTCACTGCACAGAATTATGAAAAGACCACATGATTACAGATAGTGTAACTGTTAAACCTGTTAGCAATATTGGCTGTTTACCATAAACACTTGTTCAATTATAACACGCAATACCTGTGCCCTTAAACCAGTTGCTATTAATATGACAAGTTTGAAAAACAGCTGAAAATTTTACTCTACTTAATTAATTCAATATCAAAGAGCCGAAATCAAAAGCCTTTACAGAACGCATATTAAGCTGTCAATTCTAAGGCTTCGTTATTGAAAAGGTCATACTCTTGTGCATCAACATATTTAAATGGCACACAAATAGTCACGGTACTGCAAAATGTGACTTGCATGCACATAATAATTGTTTATGGCACACATGCCTGCACACACCCATGTGTGTGTGGACATACTCCAAATATTTCAGCTAAGGTGAGCTTCATTCATACACAGAGCCCTTCAGGCTTTGTTCACTTCAACATGTCACCATTCCCCATTAAGTGAAAGCTCTTCAAAAAGCCTCTTTATGCCCTTCTTTGCAATGCAAATTGAGACGAGGTACACTCGGGGGAGTCTTGTGTGGCGGCCAAGTTAAGAATTGACCTGCACGCCAGATCATAATCTCAGAGAATGAGATTGAATAGGATTCCTCGCTGTAGTTCCCTCTGGACTGGCAGACAAAGCACAAAGGACACCCGCCTCTCCCTGCCTCCTCAGTGAGGTATCTTACTCCCAAATATTATTTTCTTACTCTCTATATGGGGTTTGAAATGCATGCTGCTGCATTCTAAGCACTTGAGTGACTTCTGAGGAGCTACATTGCTTTGAAGCTATAGGAAAACTATTCAGAAACATTCCCTGGGAAGTTCTTTGTAAGACTTGGGAAGACAGTGTGAGAGAGAGGACACGGCAATAGTGAATGTCCAGGAGAGAAAACTGCCATGAGAGAAGGGGGGATTAGATAAGCAGAGACAGAAAACAGACCGAAGGAAGAGTGGAGGAGTGGTTGGTATGTTTCACAGGAAAGCTGTGAGTTATGTGTGTGTTTTTAAGGGAGATCTGGTGTTCATAGCTCACCTTTGACCGTGGCGATGACTGTTCCAGCTGTACTGAGGATGTCCACCGAGTTGAGGCTCTGGTGTTTGCCGATTATGGACTTCAGAACTCGCAGCAGCTCCCCAAGACGCTCGTGCGCCGCCTGATGGAGGCAGTCCTGGTGCTCTGGAAAGTTATAAAGACACTTTTAGCATAACAGTTAATGTATACGTCTCATTCAGTCTATCTTGTAATAAGCACAGTGGGGCTGTCAATTACCCATTTAACATGATGGAATTGGTGAAGACAGTAAAACCATCGTCTGACAGTGTCCACTGAAATATCATTGACAGCTACTACATCATTATCCATCAGCCTGGTTAACCTTCGACCCATGAGATGATAAGAGATCAGTGTCGCCCAGTGTTTCTCTGCTACACGTCATTGAGCAATTGGCCAGGTTTGTTATGCTATAGAACATGGAGCGTAAATGGCCTTTCAATGTACTATTTCCTGCCATGAATTGTGTCTTCAGTCTGAAAAATGACGGGACTTGTACCATATTTCAACATTGAGGCTTAACAATGACTCATGTGCTATGAAACCTGAGCAGACTGAACCTAGAACCCAGCTATTTAGAACTCTCCCTGCTTTACATGAATGGTGCAACATCATTGGAAAAGAGGATTACTACATGACATTCCAGCTTTGTTGGTTGAAAGAGTGACTGTGGCAGCCATGACAGATTGCTTTATGGTGTAGTTGCACAGACAAATAGTAGCGACGGCATAGGGATTGCACACAACTCAGCAAACCTACACAAAGAACTGAAATGGTGCTAGCCTAACAGCCAAGTGCATAACTAAACACGACCTACTGTGCTATCTGTCTGCAATTAGCAGTTGGTTAGCTAGTTAACTAAAGGAAACATGGCATCTCAGGTATGTGGTTGAGTGGAGTAGATGTGACTTTACTAACAGTGAGTCACCACCATTTACAAAAAGGGACAAAAAGCACTTTGCTATCAGTTGACCTTTATAATCTGCTCTCGACATTGTTGAGGAATGAGGTCATGAATGAGGAAATGGAAACGAGTACATCAACTACGGTTCAGGTGTTTTTTGTTGTTTTTTTACTACTCATTAGAAACATATTGAGTACTGCAGGATAGTGTCACAGGGGTCCGACACACTAGCATGGCTGACTTTACCAAAGATAACTGATACAAGAGGTAACTGGAGACACACACACAGATATTATTGGCATTTTGCTCAAATATGTTCCAGTCCTATAGCTGTAATCTCACTTAATACACAGTCGGCTGCTCGGCAGGTTATTTGACATGCTTTAAATGTGATCATCATCGTTATGTGTATAAATGAGATTATTCTTAGTCAGATCTCTTTCTAGTAAACAGAAAAAAGTAAGGTAAAACAGAGACGCACACACACGCACACACAGAATGGTTACAGGCAGTCAAAGCCACATTTTGTGCTGACGATCACCCCTGGATTACCCCTTCATGGTAGGGGGATCAGAAAGACTTTAGCTGTCTCCCATTTAGTCTTTTATTCATTAGCCCTCTTTTTTGGAGTGGGACAAATAGTGCCGCCAGTGGGGCTAATAATGCTGCGTCTGTGTGGCCGCCATGACAATGCTAGCTGAGTCCTGTCCTGGAAATCCAGCCAACTGACCACCAACTGACCAGCAGGTGACAAGTTCAAACAGGTCAGAACAATAACCTAACAACCAGTATGAAGCGCAGAAAATGTGCAAAATCTCCCCACAAACTGTCAACAAAATGCTGTAGAGCACCGTACTTATATATTTATATTTTCATGTTTCAACTTTCTTATAGCACTATGGCAGGCAGCCTATTTTTTCTCTCAAGGAATGTGAATGATAATGTGCCAAATGGCTATACATGTTGCTGCTTTACTGACAACTTCAATGCATTCAGTCAACACACCCTGCAAATCAACAATAGGCCACTTAACATAAACCCAAAGAGCTGAAGTGATTGGATAAGGTGCAATGACTCAGAGAAACAGTACTACAAGGTGGCCACAATGTAATTCCAGGTGAAGATCAAGCACTTGCAAAAGATCAACACACAAACTGAAATCACAGGACACACCAAAATGATTACATAAGACAGGCACAAATCCCAGACTGTTCCACTACCACATGAACTACCCCATGCCAACATGCGCTGTTGCCTCTAGCTTGCCAAAAGCTTCAGGACCTGGAGAGTCCTATCCTTCACCATAGCGACCATCTTCATCCATCTTCATCAGATGTCGTGCACAGCTTCTTCTAGTGCCAAGGACCTAGTGGTTTTTGATGATGAAAGCCTCTCGTTCTTTTGTTTCAGCTGCCCAACTCCCCACGAGGCAGGAAAAGGGCCAGCGTTGTGCTTCTGGCACAACCACACATCAAACTGAGACTCAAAACTTCTATACAATCAATGCAAATGGGCGTATAGAGAAGGTCATTCTCTTCACTGGTCCCTTGGATGACTATGTACAGATTCAGCCATTTTCCAATTACAATCTCGTGTAAAAGAGAAAGAATGTGCCAAGTTATTTTGTAGTGGTATGACATGTACTCTTGTATTCAGCTCCCAAAACAAACCTTTTGAATGGTGTTTTCTGAATAATTTGGCTCAAATTAAACAAAATCGGAACAGGAAGTCTGCATTTACATTAAACACAGGCAGATTTTATAGTTGTTTAATGTAAAACAATCACATTTTAAAACAAACAAGTATTTTATTTAATATTAGAAATACATTTCATATACATTTCCTTTAACTTGCTGTTTTTGCAGTGTTAATCTTTTACTGTAACAGAACCAGTCTTCCCACAGCCTTATACAGAGACCTGGACCCACAAAAATTTGATAAGGGTCAAAGTTTACAATGAGCTGCTTCAACCCTTAATTGGTCCTGGTCAGTTTAGATCCCATTTATGGACATTATCCTTTCAATGACAAAAACACACAATGGCCTAAATCATCCCTACACAGGCTATACACCCTATTCATCGACCGAGTAACTGAATCCAGAGCCCTGGAGGCACCAAGCCTGGGCAAGCTAGAGGTTTATTAAGGACAAGCCTAAACCATGAATGCCCACGAGACAGAGGGTCTTCCTTTGCAAAGCTCCATGGGCTCCAGTCTTCAATGGCGGTTGTGTGGCCTATTGGACCATCCTAAATGAAGGCTAATTAGCAAGACATTATGGTTGCGTCCACCGGCCCAGCAGGACACAGGATAATGTACAGAGACTGATGATGCCATTCTGCACGAGACACAAAGAAGAAGACTCGTTCCCACCAGGGAGGGGCGGTTAACGGAACATCTGACTGGTGCAATACGTTTCAGCAGTGGTATTGCCAGGAAAAATAAAGTTTGGAAAGGAACATTTGGTGGAAGAAGTTGCAATGACAGAAGATGTTTCAATTGGCAAATATCAGCTATCTGAAAACTGGAAAACAAACAAGCTGCTGGGAAGATTGTTCTGCTTTCCCCTGGGAAGACCACTGAGTTTTGCATGAGTTGTTTAAGTGCCGAAAACTCACTATTGTCCCTGGGGCCACTAGCAAACAGTGGCCTGGTCGCCTCATGGGCCTGCCACATGAAGCATTTATGGAACAATAAATCACAACGGCAGCTTTTCACTTTTCACGGGAAAGAGGGATTGGAGTGTGTGTGTTTGTGTCTGTGTGTGTGTCTTTGTCCATGTGTGATGGTTAGTGGTCGGAGTGATAGGGGAGGAGTTTTGGTTGGCATTGGGGGGTGGGGGGGGGGGGGTATTTGGGGTAGTACGCTCCCTTGGGATTTGTCCCAAATTTACCCCTGCACCCCACATCCCTGCTGTAGTGGGGGTTATGAGAGAAGGAGCAAGTGAGAGACATTCCTGGGCATAATAAGCCCTGGTGAATGAAGGCTACAGAGGGATCAGACCTGATGAGAAGGAGGCAGCGGATCAGGAGCTGCTCTGGGCTGCCAGTAAGACATTGCCAGGTTTTTACTTCATTAGCGTCATGGAAACCCAACATTCCAGCCTCTTGTTTGGGAGTGGGGACGGGAGTTGCAGGAGCGAGGGGGATCCATAATGAAAACATTGTCAGATCACTCACCATCGAGATGACACCTCAATACCAAAACATTCTGATGCTCTTCTGGAGCAGACTCTAACAGTTAAATGTTATGGAGCTACACATATACAAAGATAAGGCCGTAGACTCATGATAGTTGATTTAGTCTATGCAGTATGTGGGGAGGCGATGTTGGAGAACATGAAACCTGGAGCCATAGTCATACTATTCTCTAGCTCTATATTTTTGACCACTAACCGACAGGCCACTAGAGTGTTATAATGTAAAATTATATCTTTGGTATCTCACCCAAGTACAAGTCTTTCTGCAGGTCCAATATCAACCTGCATGGTTGTTGTTTTGCATTGAGTCTTTACACTGTTGGTTTGTTTAATGGTTGTGTTTTGTTGGTACTTAGGCAAGGACAAAGTATATTAGACCCAAGCATTCAATGTGAAAAGGTTTTTAACACTTAAGAACTGCCCACAAGGTGTAGACTACCATATAAGAAATATAGTTTTTGTTATTGCGCAAGGCCATCAATGCTAAAAAAGATGCCGTTGCTTTTTGTTGATGTGCACCATGAGGTGCACATCAAATGTCTCAGTTTGGAGACTTAGCATCACTGACTTGATTCTTTGCAGCACAAAACTTCAACTAGGGCCTGACACAATATGACTTGGCAACATTCCTTTCGCTCTGGACCTAGCTATGCTCAGTCATGCATTGCAAATCATGGGAGCAATGTATTATCTATGCTTCAAAACATTTGATGGAACAGAGGGGTGCTTATTTTTGCAAAGCAAGTGTGAAATCACTAAACATGTCACAACTGGGTCTACAGAGGTCCAATCAAATGGAAGCAGTTCATGGCAGAGGGGGCTAAATAGGATGTTGGACAGGCTAGCCATGACCAATGTCAATCAAAACCTCTCAATGTGTCCTATTGAGTCAGACCACAGCTGGACATTCCAGCTACTCACCCCTAAATAACCAACTAGAACTCTGTAGTGGCAGTTGTTTCAAAGA